AGAGTTTGAGGCTTATGTTGATACCCTTTTTGATATGAAACTCCCAGATAGTGGAAGCAAGCTAAAGGATGAAGAGTTGGTGAGTTTGTGTGCTGAGTTTATCTTAGGCGGCACTGACACAACAGCTACCACGTGGTTGTGGGCCATGGCAAATTTAGTGAAGCATCAAAACGTACAAGAGAAACTCTTTGATGAAATTAAGAAAGTTGTGAAACATGGTGAAGACATTGAAGAGGAACATTTGAAAAGGATGCCTTATTTGAAGGCTGTGGTGTTAGAGACCCTGCGGCGACACCCACCAGGTCACTTTATATTGCCTAGGGCAGTGACGCAAGACACTGTGATAGATGGTTATGATATACCTAAAAATGCAATGGTGAATTTTCTTGTGGCTGAAATGGGGTGGGATCCAAATGTGTGGGAAGATCCAATGGAGTTTAAGCCTGAAAGGTTTTTGAGGCATTGTGAAGGTGATGCTAAATTTGATCTAAAAGGGTTTGCGGAGATTAAAATGATGCCTTTTGGTGCTGGAAAGAGAGTTTGCCCAGCAATTAGTATGGCATTGCTTCACCTTGAGTACTTTGTGGCCAATTTGGTAAGGGATTTTAAATGGACACTTGAAGATGGGTGTGAGGTTGACTTGAGTGAGAATCAGGCTTTCACTATTGTGATGAAGAATCCATTGAGACCATATGTGTCTCCAAGAATCACTTGATATATGCCTTTCAACTTTCTGGTTTAGCATTTAGGGGTGCTAGGACCCCATCTTCACCTTTCCAATTCCCACCCCATTTCCTCCAAAATAAGAAAATTAAAAAAAAAAATGGAGAAAAAAAAGTAAGAGTTTTTTCTTTTGAATTTTATTAGTTTCTTGATAATTAATTTTATGTTATAAGAACAACAATTGAATGAGATAAAAAGAAACAGCAGTGTATAAATATGACAAGAAAGATTTGTGTTTAATTTTGATCCACTCAATATGAAAAAGTTATATTTTTATATTTAATAATGTATTAGCAGTTAGCACTTTGCACTTCGCACGTTATTTAATGAATTGGTTATACTAATAAATATATAAAATGTCAAATTCATTAAATATTATATCATTTTATTATTACATATTTTGTTTATGAGAATATAAATTTTCATGTTACATAGACAAGATAATTTGTCTCATATATATTACTTTTTATGTGTATAAAACAATTTTATCTCATGTAACCTGAAAAAGTATATTCCCTTTGTTTATACTGTCTACATATCAAAATTAGTTTTTTAGTTTTTCTTAATTGTTCAAAATGTGAGACAGAACAAATCATTAGTACAAATCATTAGAGGCCGAAACTTGTTTCAAGAGAGCTGCACCGTGGAATATAGAATACTTTATTGATCTCACCCTTGTTCCAAAAAATAAAAATAAAAAAATTGAAAGAAATTATGTCAACATTGCGTGCATATAAACAGTATACAAAATGGTTGTACCAAAAAAAATAAAAACAGTATCCAAAATGGATGGGAGCAGTGTTTCTTGGCTCACTTTTACACAACATGTAAAAGAGGATTGCTGCATGCCTTTACCGTGGTTCATGGAATGACCCCACCCTCAAAAGTAAGTGCAGGCATCTCCATGAATCATATTCATGAACCAGACTCCATCATGTTCATAATCGTATGATTTTGCAGCAACAGTTTGTATTCCTTATAGAATCTGTCATTCCAACAATACAATGATATTCTCCCTCGATTTTACTACGAACCGTGACCAAAATGTCACGTTTTGTCAAATTTTTTACTCAAATATCACGCAAACAAATTTTTTACCAGACTGACACGTGTCATAATTCGCTACCACTGGTAGCGAATTTCGTGGCCAATAATTTCGTGACACATGGTCATATTGCAGACCAAATTCGCTACCAGTGGTAGCGAACTATGACACGTCAGTTTTTTTCTGCGAAAGTGTCCCACGTGTCAAAAATTCATTCGCGAACATAATATGCTACACAAGATAGCGAATTACTACCTGCTTGACACGTGTTATTTTTGCTGACTGTGTATTCTGACGTGGCATAATTCGTTACACTGTGTAGCGAATTATTTGTAAGCATATTTCGCTACACAGTGTAGCGAATTATCCCACGTGACATTCTGGGAAAATTTACTGTTGGGCAGGCGTAGCAAAATAGTCACTGTTTCATTTTACTACTATAACAATCCAATCTATCTTCTATAATAATTTATTATCTGTTATATTATATAAAATAGACTTTATATATTAGCGAAAAATGTTGTATGGTACCATTTAATGTGCTTTTTCTGCCTTTTTTAATGATCAATCATCATTCATCTAACTTTTTATTATTTATTTCATTTTTTTATTTAATTTAGTCTATTAACTAAATGCATGGTGCTGACTCAATACAGAGTCAAGCTCATGCCAGCAACTCGTCCTCTTCATTGCAAGTGATGAATTATGTAGATTTTCACTTGAAAAGAGACTTCCATTTATATAGCAGGTTTGTTTGATGGTTTCCTCTTTTACATATTATGGTTTCCAAGTTTGTCATTGGTCATTTGATTTGTGATTTTCACTTGGGTCAGGTAAGGAAACAATTTTGATGGCAAATTTGATTACTTGATATGTAAAAAGATAGCATGTGCATTTAAACCAATAGAGATACTTTGTGTGAGACCATTTATAGATGGTGTGAAGTTGAAATTTACAACTCTAATAGTAATAGGTACGGGAGTGTAAATGATAGTGTTGATGGTTCATTGTAGTTTAAGGATTCAGGGATACTCTAAAAAAAGTCTACTCAAATTAGGTCCCATGAACTAAGTTTAGGCATGTACTTAAAAAAATTTATTCGACATATATAATTGTCATTGAGGCGCAGAAGCTTCCCGCTTTATCAATAACCACCTATTTAAAACATTTGTATTACATGAAAACATTAAGCGCTTGTATATCAAATTTTATTCTTATTAATCACATGTGATTTTTTATTCTTAATAAATTTTCTCGTCTTTCTTGTTATTTATTAGGGAAAAATATTTCTGCAGTTAATGCAGATAAATTATCTGCATTTATTCTCAAAATGATGTCGTTTTGGTATTGAAATTTTAAACAATTATAAATATAAAGACTATTATAACCCTGAAATAAATTAAAATTACAAAAACATCATAATTTCTGTCTCAAAACGACGTCGTATTGAACTTACTGCAGATAACTTATATGCAATAAGTGCAGAAAAAGCAAACCATATTTATTAATATACAATAGTTTTTATATGATATAATACATTGATATATATTTACTTCTCATTATTATGTGATTATTTTTACTAATTTAACTTAATGTTGATTCTAACCCTTTTACAAAGACGTAAGTTATTTTTTTTATTCAAAGACGTAGGTTATTACTATATGAAAGTAATAAAGATCCGTTTTCAAGGACACAATAGTCATTTTAACGACCATAATTGATAGTGAGCAATGCTTTGACCAAACTATACAGACAATGATGCTTCGGCAACGTTTATTAAAAAAACAAAGAAAAGGAAAAACCAAAAACTATACAGACAATGGAGAATAAGAGGTCCCACGAGGAATGGGCATCCTCAAGCAACTTGAAGCAGATTTTGTCATTTGTTACTTTTTTAATTTTTTCTCATTTAAACGAAAATAAACTAATTAAATTAAATGAGTTCATTTTCTCTATAGTAAATGCAGATAATTTATTTACATTAAGCTCAAAACAATGTTGTTTTGAGATAAAAATTAAAGTATTTTTGTAATTATAATTTATTGCAGGATTATAATAATTTTTTTTATTATAATTTTTTAATTTTTCAACCAAAGCGATATCATCTTAAAAACGAATATAGATGACTTATCTATATTCATGGTAGAAATATTAAAGTCAAGTTAAATACGTATATAATCTAATTTCAATTGAATAAAATGTGAATATAATTTTTTATACTATTATGTAATAATGTGTTATTTAGTAAATTTGTCAATACATGAAGTGTCAAATTTATTAAAAATGTGTAAACCATTATCAAATAAAGTATAGTTTTTTACATTAACAATACACAAAAATTAAAATCATATATATACATATATAATTTATATTTTATCAAATTTTATAAGTTAACTTTTAAAAAAAACAAACCTACTAAACACATAATACAAGCCACTTTATCATATTGTCACATATTTTATTTTAAATATCATATTTATCAGTTCATATTTGATCTTTATATTACTACGATAATATTTAAAAAATATATAAAAAAACTAATTTTTTGAAATTTATTAAATTTTATATAAGTATAACGAGCAACAAAGTTCGGTAATAACTTATAAAGCATAAACTGACAAATAGTAAATCACGGAGATAAGGAAGAAAAGATATTTGGTGAACGGACAGCGAAGCCATAGAAAAGGAAGCTAATTACATATTATCCTAATCCTTATCCTTATATTTTTATTGTCAAACTAAATTATACGTGTAAAAAAAATGGTGAATTCAATTATAATCGGACTGTAAAATTATATAAAATATAAAAAAAATATAAAAAAGGAAAAATTATTTGTTATTTTAAATGACAGAAAATTATGTAGAGATACAGAGACAGAAAATTTGAATTTTAAATTAAAAAAAACCACCCACTTTCTCTTTCCCATGATTTCCGTTTTTCTGTGTCTATCTCTCTTCTAAAATGACATAATTTATGTCATTTAAAATGACAAACATCAAATCCATAAAAAAAATATAAAACGAGAATAAAGGAAAAGAGAGAAGTGTTGTAATATAATGCAATGTAAGATACAGGCGTCAAATTTGTGAGTTGTAACGGGGTCTTAGAGCAAAGGCGTCGGTCGCACGTACGGTGTGTCTGCGTTCTCACGTGCGGAACAGCCTTGCTCTCATTGGTTCTCCTTTAATTCCCAAGCATAGCAATTAGCATCTATTCACTCACACTCAGCACTCGCTCTTCTCTTCGGAATCGCCCAAATCTCAGGCACAACGAACACAACACAAATCAGTCGGTGAAAGTGAGCGTGGGAGTGCAGTTTCAACGCTCTTGCTGTTATTCCTTTGCAGCTCAATCTGCATTCCTCTCTCACTTTCGCATCTCAGATCGATATCGAGGTCAGTGTGTTCTCTTTTCTCTCTGATTCTTCGATTTTCCGGGAAAAACAAAATTCACTATTGCTGTTCGTGTAATTGATGCTGCGGATTAGTTAACCTGGATTTGTTGTTTGTGCATTGCTTGCTTTTGATTTGAAATGCTGAATTTCTCTCTAGTGTACTGTTTATGAAGCTCTTCTAGTAGTTTACCTTTTGTGCTTCTGTGCTACTGAAAAGTAGTTGTGTGTTTCAACTGAAAATATCGGAACATTGATTGAAGCATTAGCTTGTATTGTATTGATGACAGAACTTGAAAGATGCGTTCATACTGAATGGTTTGTTGCGCATTTCTAGTTTTGTCTATATGCATCATCTTAAACTAAAATCTAGAAAACGTAATTTGTGTTTTGATTTACTTGATGAGTTTATGTGTGTAACTGTTGTAACTGTTTTTGAGTGCCATCGTAACGACCGATATGCAAAACTGCCAACTTAAAATTTTATTTTTGCCTGCTATATTTCCCCCTGATAAATTTGTGATAATGATGATTCATGTCTGCTGTTGTTTATGTTTAATTGCTTTTTCATTGCAGGCAGTGTCTATGTTTGTCTGCACTGCTGATGTTCATACCAACTAGACAACTACATGGTGGAGAGAGGAACTGCTGTCTGCACTGTCTCAGATGACTTTTATTAGCTATCTCGTTCTTGAAAAGTGTTGCTATGGGCATTTGTCTGATGAAATGGCAATGGCCATGGCTTCTTTGTGTTATGCTGATACATATTGTTATCAATAAAAGCAAAGCGATCAGTCCTGATGGTACGATCATATATATTTCTGACACCTCTCCTTAGTTTGTCACTTTACAGGCTCTTGTTAGTTAGGATATGAGTCCGCTTCTGATATCATCACATTTCAAGTTATATAATAAAGATCAAATTTTGTCATACTTTATTATGAACATCTTCATACATATATTTGTGATGCCCCTCAATTTGTCTGAAATTATCCTTAAATTAGACCAATATTGTTATTATCCATTATGCCTCCATCATAAATTTTTTTGAATTAAATCAAAACTTCACGAATTCTCCTATAGAAGTTTACCGTCTTCTTACTTGAATTTGTACTCTGATAGGACTTAGTTGAAATTAACATTTAACCAGTTTCATCACTTTCATGAGGTAGACACCTTTTCTCTTGCATAATTATTGTTATAGCATAATATCTTCTCTCATGTTTGTAGGTGAAGTACTTCTCAGCTTCAGGACAGCAGTTGTTAGTTCTGATGGTGTCCTGTTACAATGGAGGCCAGAGGATCCTGATCCATGTAAATGGAAAGGAGTAAAATGTGATCCAAAAACCAAGAGAGTAACACATCTGTGAGTTTTGATGATGATCTTGACAATTCTTGTCTTGCACTTGCTATAAGACACTGTTTTTTATGGGATGAAATGGTTTCATACATCATCTTGTTTTAATTGACTCGCGTAATTTATAACATCGATTATTTTGGGGGTAAATATATTATATCATGTTAGTCTTGTATTTATAAGTACGCCAAACCAGACATTTAAGAAGCTTCATGGGAAATTTATTTACCATGTCTCAAACATTTATGTTCTGATTTAGACTAGAAATTCTGTAAACAAAAATGTATTGTCTAATTCTTGCAGCGAGTACTGATTGTAAATTTCTCATAAAACATGTGGCCTTTTTCAGTTTCTCATTGTTTTAGTCTAGGATATTTTCATAACTTGATGCTAGACTTTAAATTTCTTCCACCCTGATGAGTCCCCCATTTTTTAAATCTTGTTTCTGTTTTAATCTGCTGCCCTTTCCCTCTTTCATTGAAGAAGGATAGGATGCTCTGTCTCTAGGTTAAAATTTCCTTGAAAATTGCATCTGTGTAATATTTTGGTTACATAATTTTTAAGTTATTGAAAACAGTACTTTACCAAGACATGACATGAGACTTGCTGGCCAATTATGTCTGGAATTCTTTATCTAACTTTGCCTTCATTGGTGATATTCTAGGAGTCTATCTCACCATAAGTTAAGTGGGTCTATGTCACCTGACCTCGGGAAGCTAGAGCATCTGAGGGTTCTGTATGTATTTTTAAAACTTTGATTGCATATATATTTTCTTTTAAAGTTATTTGATACTTTTACATAATATCTTATGTTATGATAATTTATCTGTTGTAGTGCTCTTCATAACAACAACCTCTATGGGACAATTCCATCAGAATTGGGAAATTGCACTGAATTGCAGGGAATGTATGTATTAACATGTGTTCATTTACCAAGTTCCGTTCTCTGTTTTTTTGTTTTTCTTTTTACCTTGGAAAATTATCTGCATTTATCTTAGTTGATGATGATATTAGGTTTGCAATTTAACAACATAATCTCACCTTTGTTAACTTTAATGTACATATGTATTCAAATTGTTACATATATGTACAGTGCAATCTATTGCATTTACTGCATAGCTGGGACCACATGAGTTCTTATGTTCTTATATTAACTTCTAGATCTTGTTCTTTATGTTGTGTTTTAAATTAGGTAAATCCAATTGTTATATGTTGCTACTTGGCAATAACTGTTAATTTGTGTTGTACAGATTCTTACAGGGTAATTACCTTAGTGGAATGATTCCAAGTGAAATAGGAAACCTTTCGCAGCTTCAAAATTTGTGAGTTTCTCTTTTTGTTGGTGCTTGTCTTTATGTTTGAATGTAATTGTTTGGGTGGGGATTAAGCACTATAAATATTGTAGTTTGGATTCATTCTGTTTTCAATTGAAGAATAAATGGCCTAAGTGTGTCTACTGGAAGAAAAAGAGGAAAGAAAAAGGAATGTTTGAGATAATTTATCTGGTGTTTATACGTGAGTGGTAGGAACATTATGCATGCACATGTGTCAGCTAATTTTGAGATGAGCGGAGTGTTCAGTAATTAAGTTATTTAATGGAGTTTCTTTTTTTTCATTTTCTTTTTTTTCTTAAAAGAAAAAAGAAAAAATCAAATTGGGCAATTCTGGTGTTACAAAAACCATATTAATCAACATGTCTCCCATTTTACAGGGATATATCAAGCAATTCCCTTAGTGGGAACATTCCAGCATCACTTGGGAAGTTGTATAATCTCCAAAATTTGTATGTAGACTTCTTTTCTGCTGTGGTTCTTCTTTCTTTATGCACATTTTTATTAATTAATTAATTTGTTTAAAAAAATTGAATTGAATTTTTTACTATTGTGGTCATGTTTGACACTCTGAAGCAATGTATCAACCAATTTTCTGGTCGGACCAATACCTTCTGATGGTGTCCTTGCCAACTTTACTGGAAGCTCGTAAGTTCAGTTTTTTTCTTTTCATAAATGTTTTATAGGCTAAAGAGCCAAATGGAATATGACTAATTGGTCTGCATAGGGTTGTTTACTTCCTATAGTTTTTGGGGCAAGGCTATTGGCATTCTCGATTGCTTATCCACACTCCACATTAACAACTATTAATTGTAATTCCCTATATTACCATTAACTAAATATATTAACAACAATTACTCTGATTTGTATCTGATTTATCTCCATGATTTGGGTCTGATTTCTTTCCATAATTATTCTGGTTTGACCGAATGTTGCTTCGTCTGCAATAAACATTATTGTAGAATCTTGTTGTGGATTTATCATAATATAACTAATTATGACTAAATTGAATAGAAATTATTTAGGTGAAGGTAATTTAGGAAATTACAATTAGGAGTTGTTAGTGGGGAGTTTGGATAGGTAATTGGTAGTGCCAATAGCATCACCCCAAGTTTCTGATCAGCAAAATGAGATATATGTGATTGAGATATAAGAGACCGAATACATGTGAAAGGCATATCATACCTATTAATTATTTTGGATTACTGAATAGATACTTAAAAGAAAAAGAAATTAAGACAAAGGAAATATCTGATTGAGATTGGATCATGAACAATTAGTATTCTAATTACAGGTCAATTCTGGTGTGTACTTTTATTTATCTTCTTGTAAGTGTCGAAGTGTGCTGTGTTGAATGCATGCTCCTTCTACTCCCTTATCTGATGACTTATTCTTCGTATCTTTTTATTGAATGCATGCTCCTTCTACTCCCTTATCTGATGACTTATTCTTCGTATCTTTTTATTCTTTTTCTTTTTATTGAGTTCTCCCCCAGCTCTCTAGATTTCTATCTCTTATCCATATGTCACTGCCTTTAAACATTTGAGTGGGAATGCAGTATCTTAGCTCACCTGCAACTCAAATTCTTATTAAACTTCTCTATTTAGTGTTTAGGCTTTGTTTGCTTGTAAAGAGTTAAACAGACTAAAGGCATGCATATTTTCTGTATGCATTGTGCTTTTCCTTTCCTTTGGCCTCTTCCAAACAAAGACTCAAGGTTTGACTTGATTCTATGAAAAAAATCTATTTAATGAGGTATCAAGCTTTTTGCTTGATACCATAGTTGTCAGTAGCAGTTAGCGGCCGGTAGGCCGACCCCGAAAATGGTATAGCGGGGTAGCGGGTAGCAGTATTGCCGCTACGGTGAAATATTAATTCCACATATATTATACTAACAGTCAAGAAACGATGCAATACCGCTTTTAGTATTAATGCTCAAACATAAGAAGTAACACAAAATCAAACCCATAATTCGACAATCAATGTCAAATACAAGGAACATAAAGGAAGGATCCAAAACTAAACACAAATGAACAATAAAATTGTCAAATAGTCAAGTACAAGAAGTGAACTAATTAAGAAAATCATCATCATCTCCGGATTCTCCATCAAATTCCAACATGGGAGTGGTGTGGCGGGTAGCGGTATTGCCGCTATGCTATGCCGCTGCCTTCCGCTACGGCCAATGTTGCGTAGCGTCGCGGTTTGTAGCGGTTCAGCGGTGCTACGGGCCGCTACTGACAACCTAGCTTGATACTGCACTATGGTACCGTATAACAAGATGTGCATTATAAAATTAAACAAAAAGTCCTGCAGTTCCTTCACTGGAATCATGGTATTTGATATTTAGTGTCCTTGTTTTATTGAAATCCATATTTAGTTTTGATATTCTAATTGTTACTCGTTATCCATGCATGTAGATATCTGTAGGCATATATTAATATTGAATATGCCTGTGTATTAACTTTGTCTACTCTTATGATAATTTTATTATGTGTTGTTGTGCTGGTTGATAATTTTATTATGTGTTGTTGTGCTGGTTGATAATTTTATAGATACATTAAGTGATAACACAAATAGCTTCATAATTATTTCTTAAATGTTTATTTTATTATCCTTGCTGATCAATGATATTAGATTGCCCTAATGTAACAGTCTACCTCTAAGGAACTAAATCTACTTATCAATATTGAGACATATGTGCCTTGTTGCAGCTTTGTTGGAAATCGTGGTTTGTGTGGAGTGCAAATGAATTCAACATGTAAAGATGATGGTTCACCTGAAACAAATAATCAGTCTCCTTCCTCGGGTAAAGCTGCTTGCTTTTGAACCAATTGCTTAATCCTTCATTTAATCTCTCTCCAAGCTCTCTCTATCTTTGTTTCTGTTTCTTTCTTTTAATGATGTATTGTATTTTCCAGTTAAATATTTTAAATAGAGCATTTGAGCCTTCAGCTTTATAGATATTCTGGCTTAATCTTTCTGATGAAAGGTGGTGACTTGAGTCCTCAACCGGTTTAAGATGAAGTTGAAATGAAAAGCGGGAAACTCTTTTTGGAGGGTCTAAGGGTGGTACCATCAGGCTTTTTTGTTAATATCTCAATCATGGACCTATCTTGTCATCTAAATGAGGGTAAGGTAGAGTCATGGCAAGGTTCTGGTGACATTTCATAATTAATTCAGACTGCAATCAAGGGAAAATATGGGAAACTTGGGCATTTCGTTCTTTGGGTGTATGTGTACTAAGTTGACCAGTATAGACTAGAGTCCCACTTTTTTTTTGCACTTGAGATTCTGTTTGGTGGGCTATTGAAAACACTCGACTAAAGAAACTAAATAAATAAAGGGAAAAAATCAACAGGTATAAGCAAAAAAAGATCTCCACATGAAATCTCGGCTTGCGAGGGTTGGGGTGAGAAAATCCTTTTATGCAATCTTATCCTTGTATTTTGCAAAGAAATTGTTTCCTTTATTTGATCATATGATCTTATGATCACAAAGGAGCAGTTTTACTATTGTTCCAGGCTTGCCCTCTATAATAGGTATAAACAAGCTTGTTAAAAATAGATTAAAAAAATTAGAAACGTTTCTATTAATGTGTTAATGAATGAACTTTAACTTTTTATTTAACCAAAAAATAAAAAATGAATATTTTATTTTAACTGAATTTGACGATGCATTTGGTATTAGGTCATGGCCTTTTTCTGGAGTGGATGACTCCCTAAGAACCGGAAGTTGATTTTTGTATGATCTGACTTTGCTTAGCTGCATGTTTTTGAGTGAGAGTGACTCTGCATAATAGGTACTTAGGTCATATTTGTCTTTATATGTTAAGTTGGCCAGGGAGAGGACAAGGGTGCATGTTGATTGATGTTTTGAGTGCCACCAAAGCTACAAAACTTAATGCGCCCTCCCAAAAAAAAGGCAAAGGTATCAGCACCTTTATAAATAACCAATTAGGTGGGAGTGCAAATTTAATATTGAAGTGGATGCAGTGCTTAGCGTGTTTTTGTGAACAAATGGTGGACTGCTTCCTTCACCATAACTATGTGATCAAATGAAGTGCTTCAAGTTTCTTTTTAGATTTACTTATTTGTTATCTATGTTATGCATGATTAATTTGATAAAAAGAAGAAATTTTGTTAGACTGTGTTAGAAGAGCTGAGGAGGAGGATAAGAGATCCTACTAAAATAATCAACTGTACAATAAAAGCTTAAAATTTTAAAGTCTACATCAAGACACTAAAGCCTTATGATCCCACTCACCTGAAAAGGAAAATTCCTTAAAGAACCTGATGTAATCATAGCAAAGAGATCCTAAATATTAGAGACAGAATTGTGTAGCAGTTTATGATGGAATTGGAAATGCAGTTAAAAGATACTTTCTGTATTTGTTTTTATGAAAATAAATGTAGTGATACTATTATTTCTGTGATATTTACCCAATATTTTTTTTTTGCCATTTTTGAATATTTCTTAACAATGCTAGCAAACAGGTTCATAGTATTTGTCTGACTTTTGATATGTTGGCACAGCCTTGAATGGACTCAATGAATTTTTCTTTTCACACCAATAGTTTTGACTGTGTTGTATATATTACAGTCAATTGGATCACATTGTCACCATTTTGACTTTTATAATTTTATATTACTCTTTATAGACCAAAATCAAATTGAAAAGAAGAAATATTCTGGCCGGCTGCTCATCAGTGCATCAGCAACCGTGGGCGCACTGCTTTTGGTAGCACTTATGTGCTTCTGGGGTTGTTTTCTTTATAAGAAGTTTGGTAAAAATGACAAAATAAGTCTGGGAATGGATGTTGGTGCAGGTTTGCTCCTTATCTTTCAGTGGCTTGCATATAGACCTATTTGAGGTAGCTTTGTCCTACTTTATGCATAGAAAAATCCTTGAAAATTAATATGTCCAAATAATGTCTTGTAGGTGCATCAATCGTGATGTTTCATGGAGACCTACCATATTCTACGAAAGACATTATTAAGAAAATAGAGACTTTGAATGAGGAACACATAATAGGGGGAGGGGGATTTGGAACCGTGTACAAGCTTGCAATGGATGATGGTAACGTATTTGCTTTGAAAAGGATTGTAAAGTTGAATGAGGGCTTTGATCGTTTTTTCGAGAGGGAGCTTGAAATTCTTGGCAGCATCAAACACCGTTATCTTGTGAACTTACGAGGATATTGCAATTCACCTACATCAAAGTTGTTAATATATGACTACCTACCTGGTGGTAGTCTTGATGAAGCTCTTCATGGTAAGATCCCGGGTTGAATACTTACTCTATTTTCATCATCATATCAATGCATGAAACAGCTGTATTTTTGGGTACAAGTGTGGGCCTTTTAAGGTGGGCATGTGTAATTACAAATTCAATGCTTACATGTGGTAATCATCATTTGTTTCTCCTTATAACCAACCAAACCTTTAATTAAGAACCCTTGGTAACTCTCTCAAAATAGGTCACAACATAAAATTATCGAGGTAGTTTGTTATGCTCATTCATTATTAAACAAGTAATATTAACCTTAGCAGCTGAGCATGTGACTCATTGATACTTTTTGATGTGAAATACCAACTCAACCGGGAATTATTATTCACTGAACATTTTGATGCATCAAGATTAGGTTATAATAACTTCCATCTGCTTGGGATGTGATGCTGTTGTGCTTGTGTTGTTTGGTTGTTAAATATGGCCTTTTTCATTTTTCTGCACTAGTTGATACATATTCAATTAACATGGAAGCTAAGTGTAGCAAGTATTGCGGCCCTGCCTAGATTAGAATCCATCCGACAGAGCACAATATTATATTGTATAATGATAGATATTTGAAGCCTGTTGAAATAACTGTTTTAGGAAAGACTTATCTGATATTGCTGCTTATTGTTTCTACACTTCGAAGATGGTTTTTGAGATCTTCCTATAGTTTGGTGAGGTGAAAGCTTTACATAATCTTGAAATTATCTTGGTCAACACGTCCTTTTTACTACAAAAAAAAAGTTCCTTTTTTTAAAGAAAAAAAATTAATTGATACATCTTGAAAGTTTTAAATCCTGTTCAATCTGACTTCCCTTGGTTTCCAACACGATGCATTAAATTTTTTTTGTTTAATTGGATCTATTCCAAAAGGTTTGTTCCTTGGTAGAAGAAGCTTATAGATTCTAATATAGTTGAAGTGGGTGTTAACATAGAGATTTCATTTATAATCTTTTCTCAAGATAATGAATTTTCCGTTTGAAATTTATATCTGCATTGTATCTCTGCTTAAGTCTTTTTAAAGGGATTATGTTGTTGGTGATGCATTTCACAGAAAAATCTGAGCAACTAGACTGGGATTCACGCTTGAATATACTCATGGGAGCTTCAAAAGGGCTTGCCTATTTGCACCATGATTGTTCCCCTCGGATCATACACCGAGACATAAAATCAAGCAACATTTTACTTGATGGAAACTTGGATGCTCGGGTCTCTGATTTTGGACTTGCCAAACTTCTAGAGGATGAAGAATCTCACATCACCACTATAGTTGCTGGAACATTTGGTTATCTAGCTCCAGGTAAGCAATGTAGAATGGATATGATATTGACTAGATACATAATTGGCCGGAGCATGATTGATGGTATTGAGCATTTGAACTATTACTGAAGTTCTCTTGTTGTCGAGGTTGAGGGTAACTATAACTGGTTACCAGGTAGTCTAACACCGCACGGATGCTTACTCTGCTTATCTTTTGTTTTGATGTGTGTGGAGAAGATAGGTAGCAGCTCATATGACATAATAACTCAGAAAATGTCTTTCTGTATCAAGTGGTGTTGAATGGGGTTTGATCGATTTTGTGAGTGTAAATGCAACTTGTTAGTCTTTATTCTTCTGGCCATGAGAGACAGAAAGAGGATCTCTTTTGCCAAACCAACCAAAAGGACATGAGAAAATGGCTGAATATGATTAAAGCCTTTAATATTTTTTCTAACAAAGTAAAATAGCTGCTAATAATCATAAGACGTATTGAGCTTCACAACTTTGTGACATAAAAAGGGCTGGATTTCTTTGGGGTGTGCTAAAATTTGGTATTTGTTAAGAGTATTTGTTTTGCATTTTATCTCCATGGTTGTCTGAGCAAGCTTCTCTAACTTCATGGCAGAGTACATGCAAAGTGGCAGAGCAACTGAGAAAAGTGATGTTTATAGTTTTGGTGTGCTGATACTTGAAGTGCTCAGTGGAAAGCGGCCAACAGATGCATCATTCATTGAAAAGGGTCTCAATATTGTTGGTTGGGTATGCCATGCACCTAAATATTAGATTTTAGTTCAAGTTATCTCTTTTCTAATTTTTTTTTAATAAGTAAACATTTTTAATTTTCTTAAAAAAAATATAAATACCTGAAGTACCTTTTGTTGACATTGAGAATACTTGGCCTTATGTTAGTGGGTTTCCTAACGGTTACCACTATAATTAGCATAGTTTGGGTGTGTGTGTTACTCCTATAATTTAATTAGATTAAATAATTGAAATTACTTATCGTCTTGTTTTAGTACATACACAAACAGTTTAGGTTGTTATGTGATTACAAAGCAAGCTAATCTTGTCTTAAGTTGCTATTCTAATGGGGAATGGATACCCATTCTAATGCCTCATATTTGCCATTGTTGCAGTTGAATTTTCTTATTACCGAGAATAGGCCGAGGGAAATTGTTGATTCACTATGTGAGGGGGTGCAGGTTGAGAGCCTTGATGCCTTGCTCTCTGTGGCTATTCAGTGCATTTCCTCGAGTCCAGAGGATCGACCCACCATGCACCGAGTGGTCCAGTTGCTTGAATCAGAGGTCGTAACTCCATGCCCAAGTGACTTCTATGACTCCAGCTCCGACTAGAAAACTTGACTTATTCACGGTATGTTGTGTTTGCTTCAATATGGCTGCAAATTACTTCCAAGTCAAGAGGCAATGAAAGAGTCTCAGAATCTGCAGCGTTACTTTTCATCTCAGTTGCATTCATTCTTAAAGTAAATTTAAAGTGAAAGATGTCTTTCATAACACCACTTCAGGACAGAAGTTGTGGTTCTACGTCAGATGTCATCATTGGACACGTTCATACGTTTCTTTGTCTTCGTGAATGGGGTTGCATGTGCTACTTAATCGATCGTGGTTCCACCCTTCCTCTCTTCTTCTTTTTCCCTGCTAGCATTTGTTATCATTGTCAGATTTGTTCGCTCCAATTTAAGTGTATATGAATATGTATAAGTTCAGAAGGCCAACTTTGCAAGTGATTCTTGTTATTTATTTTTGTAATATATGGTTTCCACTTTCCATAAAAGAATTCATCTAATTAGGTGGTTCTCAGGTCTCACTTTGCAGTGTCTTCTTCGCTTTACCTTTTTGGGCTGAAGAAATTACTAGCTTGTTATTTTATTTTATTTTAAATAAAAAACTAGGACAACAACTGGCGTATTATTTGGGTTGTGGGCAAATTAGAAATGATTGCATTCTTTTGTAAGTATATTCCCGTATTGGTATTTTTTTTTTTTGGGTACAATCTCGTATTGGTATTTGTCAGGAGTGCGAACTGGCGCCTTAAATTCCCACATAAAAAAATGTGAAATGGCTTTAAAAGGACAATAAAAAATAAAATAGAAAATAAAAAGTATGAATTAAAATATTTAAAAGTCTAATGACAATAAAAATTAACAATCAAGGAATCACAAAAGTTTATATTTTGAATTGAATGAAATAAAAATTGTGTTTAGGTATTCTTTACGTGCAATAAAAAATTCAAAACTATGTAATTCATTAAAAATAAATAATTATAAGTTGGTTAATTTAATTTGAAGGAGTAATATATTGTTCAAGAAATAATGTTTAGCAATTCATTAATTTAAATCAAATAACGTACATATTAGCATAATAATCAAGGGATTAATATGACAAAAGAGCAGTCTGTTTACCAAAAAAAAAAAAAAAATTAACAAAAGAGAAAATAACTATTCATACCAACCCAAATTTCATTTTTTAATCTCATTTTTGACATTTGTTGTACTTTTTATCATTTGTATTTATTTTTTCTAATTAAGATTATTTAGTTACTTATTCTTCCTAAATCTTTATTTTTACTCCTATTATCTATTGCAGGCGGTGTCTGCACTGCTGATGTCCATACCAACTACACAACTACATGGTGCAGAGAGGCACTGCTTTGGGCACTGTCTGACTGTCTTAGATGACTTTTGTATCATTCTTGAGCAGTGTTGCTATGGGCATTTGTCTGATGAAATGGAAATGGCAATGGCAATGGCCTTGTCTTCTTTATGTTATGCTGATACATATATCTGTAATCAATAAAAGCAAAGCGATCAGTCCTGATGGTATGTATGATCATATATAATTCTGACGCCTCTCCTTGTTATTAATTTACTGGTGCAATTTATAACATCTATTATTTAGAGGGTAAATATATTGGGTTTGGTGTTTGTCATTTTAAATGATTATGTCATTTTAGGAGAGAGATAGACACAGAAAAACGAAAATTATGGGAGAGAGAAAGTGTGTGGTTTTTTTAATTTAAAATTCAAATAAATTTTTTTTCCTGTATGTCTCTCTCTTAAAATGACATAACTTTATGTCATTTAAAATCACAAACACTTTTCCCAAATATATTATGGGTTTGTTTTTTCTGATGTTACTTTAGATAACTTTATCTAATGTTCATCAAAACGACGTCGTTTTGGGACGGAAATCATGGTATTTTTTGTAATTTTAATTTATTTCAGGGTTATAATAGTCTTTATCACTTTAATTTTTTAATTTTTCAACCCCAAAACGACGTCGTTTCGATGAACATTAGATAAAGTTATCTAAAGTAACATCGGAAACTTTTTTCCCATATATTATATCATGTTAGTCTTGTATACATAAGTACGCCAAACCAGACATTTACGAAGCTTCGTGGGAAATGTATTTACCATGTCTGAAACATTTGTTTCTGATTTATACTAGAAATTCTGTAAGCAAATGCATTGTATAATTCTTGGGTTTGTTTTTTCTGATGTTACTTTAGATAACTTTATCTAATATTAATCAAAACGACGTCATTTTGGGACGGAAATCATGGTATTTTTGTAATTTTAATTTATTTCAGGATTATAATAGTCTTTATCACTCTAATTTTTTAATTTTTCAACCCCAAAACGACGTCGTTTCGATGAACATTAGATAAAGTTATCTAAAATAACATCGAAAACTTTTTTTCTAGTTCTTTCTCATAACTTGGCCTTTTTCAGTTTCTCATTGCTTTAGTCTAGTATGTTTTAAAAACTTATTACTAGACTTTAAACTTCTTCCACTCTATCTACTAAAAACAAAAACAAAAAATTCACTCTACTTAGTCCACCATTTTTCAAATCTTGTTTATGTTTTAAACGCCCACCCCGGCGTTTTTTTGTTTTGTTTTTTATGGCTTTCACTGAAGCAGTGGAGCATGCTTTTGTTATAAGGTTTAAATTTCCTTAAAATATAGCATGTGTGTAATACTTTGGTAACAGAACTTCTTAGTTATGGAAAATAGTACTTTTTTTTTTTTTGGGTACATAACGGGGCCTAAAGCCCAAAGGAACAAAAGTTACACATGCAAAGTAGCACAATAGCCTATGCCACTGTTATCAAAATAAAATGAAGCGGTTGACGAGAGTCCTGATATATGTGAAGAACATACCTTGACCTTGAAACATGTTGAGAGAGCCAATGAGCTCTTTTCACTCCTCTTAAAAACTTAATAATAATAACAGCAGAACTTTTTTTTTTTAAATAACACCCTATATAAAAATATGAGTTTGTCCTGGATTACTTTTTTTTTATTTTCCTTTTTAATAACTTGCAACAGACAAATTTTTTTTTTCTGATTCTGACTCAAATTAGTAATTTTTATAGTTTTTAAGTTTTATAATATTTTTAATAAACTATAAATATACTGATAATTATTTTATATAAACATCTTAAGTAATTTTAAAAATTAATATTATCATTATATATATATATATTATATTTGATTGTTAATATTTAATAATATAAAATACGATTAATTTTTACGTAATTTTAAAAACAAAATTTAATAGTTACCAGTGTTACTAATTCTTGTCAAATAAATTTTATTTATATATACAAAATTATATTTAAATAACAAAAAAAAACCTATATAAATAATTGTACTATGATGGTGTTCAGATGTGATTATTTGAACATAATATGAAATTGTAGGCCTTATAGTGGTAACAGCTAAAAACTCCTTCATGTAATTCGATAAAACAAGGGACAAGTCAAGTCAATAATAACTTCAAGAATAATATGTAAAATAAGAGAGATATCTCTGTTGTTTTTTGAATGAGGGTGTAGACATTGCTTATATTTATGACAGCTGCCAAAAATCCATGATTTCTTCTTCTTTTCTTTTTTTGGTGGAAAAATCCAGGATTTCTTAATTAATGAATGAACCGAATCAATAATCAACCAAGGCAGGTTAACATATGTAGAGCAGTTGTTACTTGTCAATAATTTCGAATTTGGGCTGTACAGTTTTTACGGGGTAATTACCTTAGTTATAACCTTTAGGTAATTACAATTTGGATTGTAGATATATATATATATATATATATATATATATATATGGGATATGCTACTTTGACATCGGTGCCAAATTTTAAAAAAAATTTGACACCAAATCTCCACCGTTGATTTCTGCCAATCAACGATTATCATTTATTGAGAATTGATAGTAATTAATAAGTTTAATTCCCAATAAATTATAACCGTTGATTGGTGTCAAATTTTAAAATTTGACACCAGTGTCAAAGGATCTGCCTTATATATATATATATATATATATATGAGGAAAGATATTCTTACTACCAAAAGTTTCTACAACCAACTCACTACCTATCTAATCACCATTAGATCAACAGTTTTTTCTTTTTTTCAAAAACTTTTTAGCATTCTCTCTCTTTGATTCAATGGTGATTAGATAAGTAGTAAGTTAGTAATAGAAAATTTTGGTAGCAAGAATATCCTCCCTATATATATATATATATATATATATATATATATATATATATATATAGGACTTATCATTTCTCAAGCGGTTTGAGACAATATTATCTTCGGTTACTAAATCATAACCGCACAAAAATGGATCAATGGTGATAAAAGAAGAGAGAAAAAAAAAAGAATCATAACCATTCAAAGGTGAATCAATTAATATAAGAAAATAAATAAACAAAACGATGTAGTTTTGAGATGGCCGGAGATAACATTGTCTCAAACAACTTGAGAAATATTTTTTCCATATATATATATATATATATATATATATATATATTCTTAAGATAATCAAGATAATTATGAAGATATTGCCTTTTAAAGCTAAATAATTAATTTTTTAAAAGAGACATAATGATTCTCATACAAGTAATTATAGATAATGTATCATATTATCACCCTATTTAAATAATATCAAATATTTGATTTTTTTTATATAAATAAGGAAAAAAAATCATTCATTAAATTATTATTATTATTGATAATAAAATATATTTGAACTTTGGCAAGAAAAATAATCAATATGTTAGACTCCTATTGTATTCTAAATTTATTATTGGTAATTATATTTTAAATTTTGACCAGAAAGTGGGAAAAGACATCAAATGATTCTGTGTACAGTACACCGCTTTGTCTCCTAGGAAATTGGGTTAGAGCACCGAATTTCCATTAGGTGAAAATAAAATTTCGCCGCTGCACTGGATGATATAATTTATATTTTTTTATTCTTATAAAGAGGTAGGACCCACATCTTTATTTTTTTTTGTCAATTTTCTCTTTCTTTATATATATTATTTTCTATCTTAAAATGACACAACTTTACATCCTTTAAAATGGCGCACACTTTTCCCTACATATATTTATATAAGGATTTAATATTTTTCATATCTATCAATCTCATATATATATATATATATATGGGATAAAATTTTTTAATATCGGTATTAAATTTAAAGTTTAACACCTTATCTGAAAGCCATTAGATCATAAAAGATCAATGATATCACATGCTTATAAATCAAAACAGACTATGGCTCTCAGATGAGATATGAAATTTTAAATTTGACACTGATGTCAAAATTTGTTATCCCTGTATATATAATATCTGGACCTATATAATTTTAGGGATGTATAGAAAATAAAAAATATTTCATTAAAAAACACTAAACACTAAACCCTTTATATAATCATATCCATCCTTAAAAGTTTCACGAAGTATTCAGGGGATGTTTAGCAAGAAGGTGAAATTTTTTTTTCTGTAAAAATAGGATAGAAAAAATTATTTGTCTATATTTGATAGGAGATGAAGTAAAAATATGGATGAAAATTTTTTTTCCTATCATTTGCTTCTTCGTGTAAAATAGTTAGGAAAGATTACCATTGAAAAGGGTGAAATTATTTTTTTTCGCATGTGGTGAAAAAATTAACATATAATATAAATAAAATTAACTCAATATTTCTAAAAAAAATACCAAATAACCTTTAGTAACTTACTAAAAAAAAATTCCATCATATTTCCAAAAATTATTATTTTTAGATAATTTTTTTTCCCTTTTACCGAACCAACTTTACTCAAAACATAATTTTGGTTGCAGTTAATGTCCCAAAGTCAAGCGCGTGTCGTTGGCCGGTGATGAAAGTCTAAAAAGGAAGCTTTTTGCAATAACACCAAGATTCTCTCTTACCTCTACAATACAATACTGTTCAGTTTTTCACTTTTACACCTATAACCCATTCATTCCATTATTATAACATTTGTATTGTGTTTGTTATGTTGTGTGGTGTTGTCTTCTAATTATTGGAAATCACTATCTGGAAAGACCCAGGAACAGGTAATCAATCATCTTTTTTCATCCATGCCTTTGTTTTTTCTTTTTCAATGAATTGAAACCAAGTTTTTCTCATCATTTCCTGTTTGGACTGCAAGGTAGTTACTGTTTTTTCTGTTGTAACAAGGAGAATAATGGATGCTATAAGGAAGCAAGCTAGCAAATTGAGGGAGCAAGTTGCCAAGCAACAACAGGTGATGATTCTTATTCTACTGATTTCATATTTTCTTCTTCTTTCTGAGATGGGAATTTTTCATGTTGGATGCTTACAATCAATTGGATGGTACTTTCTATGCTAGTATTTACTATTTAGGTTAGAATTGGTTCTGTAGCATGGGATAATAATATCAATTTACCTTGGATTTTTTAAGTGAGATTTTATTATAAGGCTCATTTTTACTTCAGGTATGATTTCAACTTATGGAGTGGGATCCTTAAACAACAAGTGTAGATTATGTTTGTAAACTGTTCACTTTATTATGTTTCTAGTGGTTTCATTTGTTTTGATTTTTGTCCTCTATCATTATGTTATTGTTTTGCAGGCTATACTTAGACAATTGGGCCAAATTAGCAATGAACCTCTCATGACTGATGAATTTGAACTTGAATGTCACCAGCAACTTCAAAAGTTATATAATTCTACAAAGACAGCTAAGGTGTATTTATATTGTAGTCTGATGGTTGACATTTAATAAGTTCAGGAAGCTTTGTCTGGTCATATTTTTAACCAATGTGATGCTCACAGCATTTTCAGCGGCATATTGTTCGTGGTACTGAAGGATTAATCTCTATTAGTTCCAAGCAGATGGAGATAGGTGACTTTCCTTTTGGCCTTTTGACTCTTTGTTAATTTGATTTTTGCCTCAAGGATGATAATTGATATTTTATGCTATGTACTTCAGTAAGGAAGTTGGCTAAGGACTGCTGTAAGTATGGGACTGAGAATCAAGGTAGTAGTTACCCCCTTGCAAGGGCTTCTCTTCAATTTGGTAATTCATATGATATATTGGAAAACGAGAGGGAGACTATCCTTGGGATCTTGGGTAATCAGGTAATCTTTTGGGAAATTCTTTCGTAGTCTCAAGTATAGCCTTTAAGAGTTTACTTTATGAAAATGTAGCCTTGCAGTGGAGAGCATATGATATATTAATGTATGCAAATTATTGTTATTTAGCATAACATTTTGCCTATCTGATTTACTGGTAATCTTGCTACTATGATTTTTGGCTAACACATGTACAGGGGTTTCGGAAAATTCGATTTAAGCAAGTAAATCAAGTGATACATTCGTTTGCTGCTTCATACTTTTCTCATGATATTAGTTCTTTTTGCTAGATTGGAAATAAAAAACCCTAGTTCTTTGGAACTTTTTGCTTATACAACATAAGGGAACTATTTACTTGCTAGTGCTACTGAAGGGAAGCCCTAGTTCTTTGGAACCATTATTATTAACATTTGTTTTGTAGGAAGAATTTTGTCTCTTTGCCCTTCAGTTGTATGTTATATGCTCATATTTTGAGTCTAACACACTATCCAAAAACAAAAACAAGCACGGAGACTTCCCATCATGTCTTTTCCTCCGCCATCCCCAATTGTTATGCTTCTAATTCTGCTTCAGGTTTTGTATAGATCTCTGAGCCACTGCGGGCGCAAATAACAGGAGCTCCTTTGGAGGATGCACGCCATCTCACTCACCGTTATGATAAACTTCGTCAAGAGGTAGAAGCCCAGGTAATAATTTACAGCCATAATGGCATGTATATGGTGGTGTGTAGTGCAAGGTATTTATCTTAGAAATCTTTTCATCAGGCTGCTGAAGTTTTGAGGCGTCGATCAAAGTTGAGGGATTCTTCTATTTCTGCAGAGAGTACCATGAGACTTCAAAATGCAGAAACAAGGTTTAAAGAGCTTAAATCTGCCTTGGTAGCACTTGGTAGAGAAGCAACTGCTGCTATGTTGTCAGTTGAAGAACAACAACAACAAATAACTCTCCAGAGCCTCAGTACAATGGTATTGTTAGATTCCATGTGGAAGTTATTTCTTGCCATGTGATTGCTGATTTGAGTTTTATGTGTCTTGATGCTAAACATCATGACTTTTTATTACAGTACTGTTATATTGCCAACGGGTGAATGGATGTTAGCTATTAAATTTTTTTGAAGATATCAACATTTCTTGTTTATACAAGAAGAGATGCTCTTACATTTACCAAAAGTTGTTGGTCGAGTTATTTTACATTTTCTTGTTTGCCATTGGCCAAGTTGCTTCATATATGAAGATTAAAAAAAAAAAAAAAAAAAGAAGAAAAGAAGATTCACATGCTTTTACAGAGAACACGCTGTCCACAGTCAACTCTTCCATTAGGCTGTAGATCTTGAGTCTGGATAACATAGAAACATTTACAGTATACCTAGGGTTTGGTCTCTTGAAGTGATAGGAACTAATTCGATTTCTCGACATGGTAGTGATCAATTTTCTGTAGCTATGGTTTGAAATCTTTATTTAAAAAAAAAAAAAAAAAAAACTCTCCATGAAACCCTAACTTACAACGGCAAAATCCTTGTGTATAGACTTATCCTTGTAGTTTTTGCAAAGATGTTGTTTTATGGATTCGAACTTGTGACCGTCACAAAGGAATAATTCTACCACTATTCTGGCCTCGCTCTGTTGGCTCACAACCTTTATGAAAATCTGTATCCATGATAGTAAATTTTGGTTCTCAACTTGTATAATGAGATCTTGTGTAATATTTGCTTGAATGGATACATTGGTTGTATTTTTTTCTAGTTATATTTTTTGTGGTTCTTGAGCCTTGAGAACCCCAACCCCCCAAAAAAATAAAATAAAGTAAACTTTTCTTTCCTTTTCATTTGTTCCCTTTTTTGGCAGGTGGATGCTGAGAGAGCCTATCATCAGCATGCCCTTGTTATTCTAGATAAACTTTATGCTGAGGTTAGCCACCATGTAGCCTGACTCTTCCTTCAAATTGGAAAAATAATTACTAGCTCCTGTGTCTATTCTACATGTTGGTTTCTGGCATAATATGCTGGATTTTTTGTTTTTGTTTTTGCACTGATCAAATTCATAACTTGTACCTTCTATTCGGTGTTATTGGATTTAGATGATTATGGAGAGACAACCGAAAGAGTCTACATCATTTCCACTTCCAAGAGATGGATATAATAAACCTGCAGATGAGAATACTAAATCAAATGGCTTTGATTATAAACACAACAGTCAAACGGGGACATATTTTTTTGCAAAGGTAAGTCACGCATAAACAAATAAATAATTAGAGCTCCTTCGTTACATACAGCAACATTTTTGCAGTAGACTGTTGTTAAAGATGAAGCCTATACAGATAATTGAGCTTTGGTTTGCTGAAACTAATATCACATGTAGACCTTCTTTGTTTCATTGTTAATGTTGATGTTTCTTTTATGTGCATATTTGAATTTGTGGATATTTGATATAATATATATTGGGTTCGCTTTTTGTCATGTGACATGACTAGAGCACTTTCCTGCACACACAATCAAGTGTGGGTCCCACGCTTAAAAAAAAAAAAGTCAGACCAAAATCAGGATACGATGCCGTATCCTTAAGATACGGACGCGGATCCTTATTGCAGGAATGAACAGTGTCATTCCTGCAACATGATTCTTATATTTTCCATATATATTTATGCAATTATTTTAAGCGATAACATATATGCCTTCTCACTCCAGTTACCTTTTTATGTATCAAATTGTCATATTTTATGGCGAAGGGGTTACAGAAAACAGAATGTAAAATAGTGAATGTTTTGAGAAGCCCATTACATTGACACACAGACATAAAAAAACATTGACAAATCTTTGTGCTAAAAAAATTCAAGTCCTGTCATTTGATATAATGCAAAATTTGTTAGTGCAGTGCAATCATTCATTTACACTCATCCTTAACAGATTCATGTTCGTCATCATTTGTCTTGTAGGTCATACATCCATTTGATGCTCAAGCTGAGGGGGAGTTAAGTCTTTCAGTTGATGATTATGTTGTAGTTCGTCAGGTATTTCTTTAAGGACTTTTGAGCTATTTATGACGCATCAATTGTTCTCCAGATTAACTGACTCCTCTCAAAGCTTAAATTTTGTTCTAATAAAGAACCAAAGACGAACTTTTGGTGTTCATAACTATGCTCATTGGTTGGGATCCTAAAAGCCACTTACTTGTCTTTCTCCTTGTGATGTAAAATCAGAGGTGGAAAATAGACATGTAATTCAAATTAACCACAATTCACTTGTATAAAAATTGTATATCCCAAGATAACGTTTGGTTTGAACTCTGTCTTGAATGACAGTAAATGAATCATCTTTTGGTGGTAATTTTTGTGATTTGGTTTTTATACCTTCACCTACTCTTATGTCCATTATCTGTTACTTGAACATCAAAAACAAAAATAATTTTAATATTGAAATCTTTCACGACTTAATCATTATCTTGATAACTTGAAATTACTGGACACATTTTTACCTCTTTAACATATTCTTATGCTGAAGTGTATGTTTACTTTAGTGTGCAGTTTCCTACTTGTACCACTGTTGTCTGTTGATTTAGTAATTACAAAAATAAGTTATAATCCTTTTTTTTTTAAAGTAAATTATAAACGTTATTGCCAATTGAATCAGACTAACTGATTTGAATTGTATTCGTATTTACCTTTTGGTTGTTACATTTCAAGGTTGATCCCAATGGATGGTCTGAAGGAGAATGCAATGGCAATGCTGGATGGTTTCCCTCTGCTTATGTACAGAGACAGGACTTAATACCAGCCAACAAGATAATGGAATAATGTCAACGTGATGGCATCATTGTTCTTTTGATTAGGTGAGGAAAAAATTGTATATTCTCGCAATCACGGAATAGGTGCATTTGAAAAGTCATATCATGTGTTTGCAATTATTTTTGGGTTTTTCTCTCATCTGATTGTATATGTGAGCATAAATTGTAATAGGCAATGGCAGTTAAAATATGTAGATTAATATATGATTGGCATTTGCTTAAGGTCATTTTGAGGAACTTAGTGTTAGTGATGGAAAGCTCAGTTAGGTGGAAAAATGGTTCAATTTCCGTTGTTCATATTCTATACGATGGTCTGTAATTCTAAATGAACATATGGCGAGAAACATTGTATTAAGAATTCTTCCGATGTATCAATAGGGAAAAAGTAATTAGTATATTTTTTTTTCTGTGTAATTTTAAATGTCGAACAATTTTCCTTTTTTTTTTTATTAGCATAATGTCTACTAGACTAGAAGAATAAATTATTGCCGTTGTTACTGGTCCCAGGGATTTGAATGGTGTTAGTAGAGTATCTAAACAAAACAAAATCAGAACGTCCAAACTAGACTCAGAGATCATGGTTTGAATAAACTGGACTCCACGCTAACAGATGTACAGCAACGCAAAATTGCATACAAGCCTTTACAAACTCTGCAACAAACCCTTCCCCTCCTTATGTTATGGTATTGAGAAAAAATGCAACAGAAAAGGGAAAAGCAATAGAGTGACGTAAGTAACTGAACACAAAATAATATTGCATTAAAATAATGGGTTTAAATTATCTTATCTGACGAAGAGAATTCTCTTATGCAAATGAGACCTGAAAAGTTGTGTCATTCTTTTTTCTTTTTTTTGATTTTTTAGAAAATGGTGAGACTCGTATGATTTGTTTCTATAGCATGAGGTAAGTTATCTCCTACCGTAGAAGATTAATAAATCCTTAAAATAATTCACATAAATCAACGCAACTATTGCTGGTTACAATTTGTAACAGCATAAATAAACAACAAAGTGCTGGTCTCGAGGTCTTATCCTACTAAGTAGTCCATTTGAGCTAAATAGCCACATCCTTAAATTCAGGTAGCCAATATTATTTTAACCATATAAATAAAGGGTTTATCATCTATCATTTAACATGACCACAAAAATTTTCCTACACACAACATTTTGTGGGGCCCGCAGCAAAAAAAAAAAAAAAAACTTCGGCGCGCAAAACGAATCTCTATAACATAACACAATCACTTTTCCTACAACATAACTCTTATAAAACCCATAAATAAATGAATAGATTAATGAACATAAATGCTTTCAAATTTTTATTAAAATATTGTGTCAACATTTCTTGTTTATTTCATGGAAGAAAATTGCTCGCTTGACCTATGAGAAAGATCTAGTTGTGAATGTACGTGATAATCCATATTAAGGGAAGACTCAGGGTAACATGATCAAATTAAGGATGTTTTTTGGTGCATAGACATCGTCCATTCGAGGTACCTTGAATATATGAGCACAAGATACAAAAGTTCAAGATACATGGATATCAACAACTTTCTTGAGTTGTATAAAATACCAAAGTATGTTATCAAAAAAAAAAAAAAAAAAGTACCAAAGTAATCGCTTATACATGAGCATAAGATCCCAAAGAATTTGATACATGGTCATACTGGACTAATTAATTAAAAGCTATGCACATCACTTCGAATGCTTTACATTTGCCTCCAGCTATATTGTCTTTTTTCTTTTCTGCTTGCTTGAGCGAATGCTACAACCAAGCATGATTGATGGCATATTGAACAGCTCAGGACGTTCTATAGGATCTTCGTCCAAATTAGATTCTAAAGATGTGGTTGTAAATGGCGGATGTATATGAAATTCTAAAGCTTTTCTCCCTGCTGAAAATGTATATCAGATTCTTCCTTATGTTTTTTCACATGCATGCAATGTACCTGCAAGGTTGATGCCAAATAAAGCAAAAAAAAAAAAAAAAAAAGCATTAACTTTCTTGCTTGTTTAAGATCATACAAAGTTAGAGTCACATGCACTTGAAGGATCAGAGTCAGCTTACAAACATAGCTTCCTTAAAGGTTTTCTTCCTGCTGAAAATGCATACAGATTCTCCTCCTCGATGTTTTTCACATGCATGTAATGAGCCTGCAAAGTTTGTGCCAAATAAAGAAAAAAGAAAAAAGAAAAAAAGCATGAACTTTCTTGCTTGTTTAATATCATATACAGATAGAGTCACATGCACTTGCACTTGAAGGATCACAGTCAGCTTATTAAGATAGCTTCCTTAAAGGTTTTCTGACTGCTGAAAACGTATATCAGATTCTCCCCCGTCTTTAACATGTATGCAATAAACCTGCAAAGTTGTGAGCTAGAAACAAAGAAATAAAAAAGTATACCACCAAACACGTGGATCAACTGATAAAAGATTATTCCAGCTTAATTAGCGGTCTCGAGTTCGAGAGTCCCTAGAAATGCAGCTGTGTTAAAACTTGGTAAGAAAAGCTTACGTTGTCTTACCTGTCTTGAATCGGACTAGTTAAGTAATCGATGAATAAAAAAAAAAAAGGGGTATGAACTTTGTTGCTTGTTTAAGATCACATGAACTTGAAGGATTAGAGTCGGCTTATAAACATAGCTTCCTTTGCAGATTTGTTTGATATTTGTTTATTATTTAATTTTTATATTTGACTTGTATGCAATGTGTTTCCAGGGATTCAAGTGACAATCCCATGAAGCAACACCATGCACATAATAGGTCCATGGAAAAGTAGGCTCTCCCAGCCAAACAGTTTAACGGGTAGTCCACTTGAAACACAATGCTTGATACATTATTAGTTTCCTTTGCATTGTGTTGAACTTGTAAGATAATTTCCTCTGTTAAAAAAGCACATATTAAATAACTTCCTCGTTAACTAGCAACTCCGAAAAATGCTTGATATGTCAAAATAATAACAACAATGCATTCGCATATTTTAAAGTGATATTAAAGAATGTACCCAAAAATAAGAATAAAGATTGAAGAGAGAAATTCCAATCTTTTCAATTCAAACAGAAAAAAAAAAAAAAAAAAAAAAATAGAGGCCAGTGGCTTATGCTTGCCCTTAATTGTGTAACCTTGACACAACAAATATAAATCCGATGAACTCCATAAACAAACACCAAATTTGAACACAGAAGATTAGGGTTGTAAACCTGCAACAAATTACCGGTGTATAAAACTTCGTAATGCTCCAAATACTACTTTGCATTTACATATACTGAAAAGAGAAAACACTATGAAGATCATCAAATTAAAATACAATTGCCCAAAACATCTCCATTGTATAGCACAATATAGACAATCACCAAACTCTGTAAGGCATTTGTATAGATGTAAACACCAACACATGATAGTGTACCAAAACGAATAAGGCAATATATTTGCAACACCTTATAACAAGTTCTCTCTTTCTCTCTCTGTGAGGTATGAAGCATCAAATGATAGAGAAAATGTAGTGCTCTGTACTCTAATCATCACTAAGCTCGTCATCAATTCCAGAAACATTCATCCTAGCAGATGCATGCTTAGCCCATTCAACAATCTTCTCAGCCTCGCGGCTAATTTTCTCTTCTTCTTTCAATGCCTTCTTCAGCATTTTCTGCTGCTGCTTGCTCGAGAAACTTCCAAAATCCGATAACAACTCATCACTCTTATCCCACCCAACAACAACAACATTGTTCTCCTTGCTTTTCTTCTTCTCCTTCTTCGGAGAGCACCAGAAAAAACCAACTTTTCGAGGCGGCGATGGGGAACCACCCATCAACGAATTCGAAGACCCAAGAGAAGAAAACAGAGACTTTTGTCTCGAACGCTTTCCTTCGTCTTTTTGCGTTGGCTTGAACACCGAAGACACTGAGCTTTCTTCAGAGGTATGTGAAGAACCAGAAGCAGAACCAAAAGGGGGCGAAAGTGAAACAGACCCATGTTTAGATTTTGCTTCCGACCCCTTTTTCTGAGGCGAAGAGACACACCCAGATGGTAATTTTAATTTAGGGTCATCTGGGTTCTCTTTAGAAGGAGAAAAATCGGGACTTTGGTCATTACCCTTATGGAGAGTAGAAAGGGTGTGGGGAATTTGCTTGGGTTTGGTGGCTGGGAAAGATTTGAGCTTGCGGAAACGGGATTCGAGGTCAGTGGGAAGAGCAGAGTCAGTGATTGCGGAGCAATTGATGGCGGAAACTTGCTCCAAAACGCATGCGTCTTGTGCCTGCGAGATTATTTCTTCAATTGCAGACTCGTCTGTGTCAGAGAGGTCACACAATCCCCCCATTTTATTTTATTTTTTATAAATCTTTTATTTTTGTTGTGATTGTGATTTGAGAGTGAAGTGGAGAGTGTGATTTGTTTTAATGGAGGGAGAGAGAATGGTGTGGTGTGTGTTACTGTCGGTGTTGTTAAAGGAGGGTTGATCATGTTCATGGAGCGTGGAGAAGGAATATGCGGTTTTAATTCAACAACGGCTAACTGGTCTTGTTTTCAAGTGTGTGAGGTCCACTCGCGCATTCTTAGGACCCACTACTTGGCATCCTATTTTCAGAAAGAAAAAGAAAAAAACAATGTTAACCAAAGCACTTTTTATTTTTATTTTTGTATTTTTTTACAAAAAAATTAATTAGATTCCACTTATTTAATGTTAATAAAGAGATAAATAAACAAAATTTTCACATGAAAAATTCTCTTTATAAGAAACTAGAAATGAGTAATGGAATTTTCGAGGATGAAGGAGAATATAAAAAACCATCAATTATATATTAAAATTACGTAATTTCATTAAAATAATATAAAGTTATGTGATTTAAAATGATAAATATTTTTCAATTCTTTTTATTTAAATTTTTTATGGAAAAATATTTGTCACTTAAAATAACACAATTTTATGTTATTTTTAAATAGGAAAAAATATTTTTTATTTTAAATGACATAAAATTATATCATTTGAAGGAAGAGATAGATACAAGAAAATATTTTTTTATTTAAAATTTAAATTAAAAAAAAATCACTCACTTTCTCTCCCACGATTTCCATTTCTTGTGTTTATCCCTATCTTGAAATGACATAACTTATGTCATTTAAAATGACAAACAACAAACTTTTTTAAATAAAATAATATTGTTTATGTGTATATTTGATTATTTTTTATATTTTCTCTACTATTAAATTAAGAAACGAGAAAGTAGTAGGAAGAAAATATAAAAAAAATCACTAATTATATATCAAAACGATATGATTTCATCCCAAATAACACAAAGTTATATCCAAACACTTTTCTCTTCTTTTATTCATTAAAATCAACTTGTTGATTTTGGCTTCCTCTGTTTTTCCTATTCATTTCTCTCCCTAAATCAATATGCTTGATATGCTACCCCCACAAAAAGAAATTAAAAAAAGAAAACTTAATTTAGCCGCCGTCCAAAACTGAATATAGCGTATGCAGATATCAGCATTGACGTTAACTCTACACCAACCCAAACAATGATCACAATTTCAACGAACTCGCATAAACTGGGTCCCACCATCTTAGCAACTAGAAGCTAAATATGTTATAAATACACCGTGCTGACAAAGAAGAAGACCCCACTTATCCTAGGATGATTCCCTCACCTCTGTTTCCCATTCTTCAATTAAGACCTCATCGTAACAACTCCACATATGGCTTTCATTTTCCCACTTAGCTCAGAGCATATCAAATTACATCTATAAAAGTGTTCTATAAAAAATAAAAAATAAAAAATAAAAAGGAGGGTTGGTTTTATGCACCAAAATTGCATGATGGAGCCAGGAGGATTAGCATGTTGCTTTTGCTTCTCCACCAAGAAGGGTGTTGCTGCAAGGAATGACAAAAGCGGTGGAGTTTTAAGTTCAGACCACGTTGAATGGGGAAAGAATGATGAAATACTCTCTGACATGAGCACTTTTTCGATCAAGGAACAAGAAAAGAGGCTTAAGAAAGCGTTGGAAGAAGAAGGTAGGGTAAGCAAGGAAGCAGAGAGGATTGTCCAATGGGTGAAGCAGGAATCAGCTAGAATTGATGATTCTTTAATCAAAACAATTCTTAGTGATGATGAGGAAAAAGAAGCAACGGTTAAGTAATACTTGTGAGTTTATTGATTTCTCTTGCCTTTTTTTTCTTTTTCTTTCTAAGTTGTTATTAAACAATTCTAAAGTGTATAAACATCCCTCAGAAATGACCAAGATTTTGATATTACCAAAGTAAGTCTAGTTGATATTAGAACATAATCTCCGTTACATAGTTATTATTTTTTTTTTTGGGTATAATTTGGAGGGTATCTCCATTCAATCTCCTATGGTTATCTTCAAAGTACGACACGAAGACTATCCTTCATTGGAATAACGGGTGCATTGAGCTTAGCTATCGGAGGAAGGATGAGACTAATCCCCTTAAAAGAAAGGAAAGAGACACGTCTCTAACCTCAAAGATTTTTCAAAAATTTATTTGAGAGAGGATTTGAAATTCTGAACCAAGCAAATGTTACACATAGTTATTATTATTATTATTATTGTCTTAGGGGGTTCCTTTAGCTTCAAGTTATGCATCAGATTGCGATGTAAAAGGAAGAAGATCCTTCCTTTTGTGTCTTTGACTATGTCAAACGAAGGAGTTGTGTTGGACTAGTCTATCAGCTCCATTGTCTGTTCCAACGGAAATTTCCCAATTTCAATGAAGAAATCTCTTCTTGCTTTCACAAATGACTCGCCCTATATATATAAGGATGGAAATGGGACAAAAAGTTACATTTAGTTATAGGCTATGGCATATATATGGCTATCAAGTAACAAATTCATGTACCAAAATTGGCTTCATAGTTATAGCGAAACTTTGTGATTGATTTCTTCGTTGGTGATGCAGAATGACAGTGATTTTGATTCTTCCATTTGTGAATCAGAATTTTTTATTGCTGTCAAAGGTTCTTCATTTAAAGTTTTTTTTTTTTTTAAAAATAAAAGTTAAAATTTAATCTTTAATCTTTATTTTGAATAAATTTAGAGTATACAGTTTTCTATCCTTATTTGAGTCAAATGCCCACACATAAAATATGAAAAAAAAAAAAAAGTGACGATTGTTGTATGGCATTAGTAGATGAGTGGACGATGATTGTACAATGTACTAAAAATTCACTGTGGGTATATGTTACCATAACAATTTGGTACCAGGTCGTTTTAAATTGCCACATTCTTAGAATCAAGTTTGACCAGTCAAATTACATTCCTATATTTGGAATTCATGTTAGGCTTGGGTTAACAAATATCAACTATACCCCTTTACTTCCGGTGCCTGTACTTTCTCTCACGGACAAACCTCCAAGTCATGTGACAAAAAATCAACTTCAATTTTTTTATTATTCACAATGGTTCTTTTCATATAATATAAAAGTTTGATAATTTTGTGTTTAAAAGTAATTTTGTTTTTTTGCAAAACTGAACAAACAAAATGTTTTAAATTTACTTTTATAGAAGTCTTCATTCTTTATAGAGAAATAATTTTTTTATCTACTCTCTTTTGCCTGTAATTACAAGTATTTTCTTATTTTGTATCCGGTTCTTAATTTAGCTTTCTTCTTATTTTCTTTAATTGACCTTTCATGCTCAAAACATGATTCCTTTTCTTCTTAAGGAGTTACTAAATATTCATATTAATAAGTTATAAATAACAAATAATAAATGACCCTTTCCTCAGAATTTATTGTCTTATTCAATCGAAGAAACTTATTTAACGGTCACAAAATTAAATAAAAGTTTTATTGTATCATTAATAACATCAATATTTTTATTGCATACTTATGACGCGAAATTATAAGGGAATTAAAAATTAAAAATTGAGTTAGATTATTCTATATATTTATAATAATATACTGGATTAATTATATCAAATTCAATAACCTTAGAATTTAGGGGGGAAATTAACTTACATGAGTTAGTCTTATATCAATTATTAGCCTTGATTTAACTTTCATCTAATAACTCTAAGTTATCATATGAGTTATCAAATGAAATCAATTACGTAATTCTTTATAATCATACACAATAAAAGTTAATTTTTCCCAAAATTTAAATATATTTAACGAATTTTTAAAATAATATTTGCTTATTCAAATATAAAAACTTATTCAATAGGCGAATAAAAAATTATATATTTCTTGAAATTAAGCATCTTCTCTCAAAGTTTATGACAACATTTTTTTTAAATTCAAAATTATAATAAAATATTAGCTTTATTTGTCATACACAACAATTAATACACATAGTTTTGTACATAATCTGATTAATTTATAAAAATAATTATTTATTATTATTTTAAAATGATATGGTAACAATTAATTTATAAAAATCATTATTTTTTATTATTTTAAAATGACATGGTAACAAATTAAGGAGTTTATATTCATAACAAACTGCACCTATATATCATGTTAAATACACATTAAAAAAAATTGTGCATAAGTGTCTATTTGAATTAAATTTTGCAAGTTTGATTTTGCTTGAACTTATGAGTATTTACAAACCGATTCAACCTAATGAAAACAGAAAAAAAAAATGCCAAATAAAAGGAAAGAAATTCATTTTTTTTATTGAATCTAAACCGATCCTTATATGTAAATATAATGTTTTGATGATTTAGGAAAAGGTAAATATATTTCTTTGTTTTTCGTTTTAGCTGATAAATACATAATTAAAGCTAAGACTAATTTCAATTTTGATGATTTGTTTGTTATGATTTTGATAAATTGTTGGAGACCGGAAAGTTAAATGTACAAGTACAACTATAGAGTATCCAATTTAAAAATTAAGAATTTTACGATATTCGGCTTAACCAAAATTCTTTATTTAGAGTAACACCCATATGAACTGAATCAGATGTTCTTCACACGTAAAGGAATTAAAGCTTGATTTGGATAACAGGATACACATTTGGATTTGGATCAGAAATTGTGAATAAATAAATGCTGAAAATCATGTATTTATTTGTGATGCAAATTAAGAAAATTAGTAAAACGGGTGCTATAACCTATAATTAACTCTAGTTGAATATATAACATCGTTATTAAACTCGATCCGGGTATTGACTCGGTTGAGGTACTGGGTCACTGGTTAGATCGGTGGATCATGATCGGATCAGTTGACCCGGATATATATAGATATATAAAAATATATATAAATATAATCATATAAATTCAATTATATTCTCCATATCTAAAATGAATAAAACAAGGTTCATTAAATAAACTAAAAAACAAGAAGCATAAATAAATAAAAATGCATGCTATTACTATGTCATTTAAATTGCAACTCAGAATTCCCATAAACATATCTCTCAATGACATTGAACTCGTATTTTTCAAATTCAACTATATTAAAAATGACATATGTCACATTTTCTTAATTTATTATTCCGCAAATTACTTTAATATTAAAAGCTGAAATTTGAAGTCATTGTAGAAGAGTATACTAGCAAATAAAATTACAATTTTTTTTTAAAATGAGTTCTACATTTTTTTTTGACAAGATAAAACAATTTTGGTTTTTTTTAAATGCATGACTCGACTGGGTCACCGATTTTGATCAGATTTAGTCAGTTTTTTCCGAATTGATATATGACCAGTCCAATACTTGACCCGAAACCAGTCTGATGATCGGTTCATCGGATTCGGAATCCACCGGCCCGGGTCCGGTGGGATTTTACAACTATGATATACAGTCAAAAAATAGTACAGCTTGCATGCTAAATATTTAGGTGATTAGCGGCTATCAAAAATGTGCATAGCTGACAGCGCGTTCAGGAACAAAATTCACGGCTTTGGATAATGGTAAAAGGATAATGTAGAAGCTGATTAGACCACACGGCTTCAACTACCAAATTACTGAAGGGTATAAAGAAAGTGATTCCAGAACTTACAAAGTTATGATTAATTAAAATTCATAGTGGAAATCAATTTTTAGTGTTCAGAACTTAATAACGCAAAAGGGTGGTTTCATAATCTGTACCCATATTCTGATTGATTTCAATCAAATTGCACGATGCTGACGTCATGTTTTTGCTTCAACGCCAAGAAGAGCTTTGCAAAGAGCAGTGATGTTTTGGGTTCAATCTCAAAACATGTAGAAAAGGAGAAGAAACATACAATACTCAGAGATACAGATTCTAGCACGTTTTGGGTTATGGAACAGGAGAACAAACTGAAGAAGGCATTAGAGGAGGAACGTAGGATAAGCAGAGAGGGAGAGAGCATGTTCAAATTTGTTAATGAGGTACATGCTAGAATAGATGCTAAGGGATGATAGCAAATGATGATGAAGCAGCTGCTAAGTACTTCATTTAATTTTATTTCTTTGTAAATTTGTGACTACTTGAAAATTCTTAACATCATTCTAATGTAGTTCTTCCGTTCTGGTTAAAAATGTCGGAAGATCGACCAAAGTGTCACTTTTTGAAAAAAAATTTATCCAAATGTCAGATAGTACTTTTTATTAGACTGACATGTGATGTAATTCGTTATGACTGGTAGCGAATTACGTTCGTCAATAATTTTGTGACACGTGGCATATTTTTTAAGAAAAAAGTTGACCGGACATAATTTGCTACTAGTGGTAATGAATTTGGTACACAATATAGCCACGTGTCACGAAATCATTGACAAACGTAATTCGCTATCAGTCGTAGCTAATTACGTCGCGTGATAGTCTGATAAAAAATATTATTCGCATCATATTTGGATAAAAAATTGTCAAAGAGTAACATTTTAGAGTGACATTTAAGTCAGAAATGCCCATCTTCCTTTGTACATAAAGTTTGATAAAGCTGTACCTTTTCTATCTTTGCTTTGTTGTGCATATGACAACGCAACGTTAATAAAGTAGACAGTTTTGTATATTGGTAAAGCAAATAATTGTTTGCCATGCTAGAAACGTGCATGACATAATTGTGGTTGGGAGGAACTTTCTGGGACTAAATAGGAGCTATTTAGTTTAAATACAGATCCAATCACTTCTGTATATAGGAAATGAACATTTCAACATAACAAGGGCTCAAGGAGATAGCTAGCTGGCTTGGATCTGTGATTTTCTCATGTAGAAAAAATGGAACGTCGTTGAATTGCTTTGGTTTGTCAAATGAAGGACAGAAAAATAAAAGCTTGGGGGGAAAAGAATACTACGGGGAGTCATTGTTGATGATCAACCTATGTGTGTATTGAGATGGAGGAAGATAATAAGTAATATTAAAAAGAGGCTGAACAAATGAATCAAATATTGACAAAAAATAACCCTTGTTATTAAAAATAATGATCAATATTCAAAATTCAACAACTTACAGATGTAGTCCTAAACACCTTTTTAAAAGGTGTAATAATCCTAAAACGTAATTATTTGAAATATGCCTAAAAAGGAAAAGTTTAAATATAGCTAATTACAAATCCATTATCATTAAGCACACTGAAGTAAGAAAATAATTAAAATCAAATTAACCTAATAATTAAAAAATTAAGAAAAAAAATCAAATCCAGTTCTAAATTTAAGCCTTCCCATATAAGCCAATTTTAAGTGCATTAAGGGCTACAAAGAAATCCTACCAAGCAAAGTTGGAACCGATGAATATATGAATATGAAGAATCAAGAAGTTAAATTTGGGGATCTTGATAAGCAATTTTTTTCTAGATAAATAAAATTTCTAAGCTATGCGTATTCGTATCGTTTATTTTAAGGATATGTTTTTAAAGTGTTTTACCAGTTACTACCATAAAGGATATATGTTAATTATAAGGGAAAAGTGTGTATAATTTTGAAGGATGTAAAGTTGTGTTATTTTAAGAGAGAGAAAGAGATAGATAAAGGAGGAGAGAGAGTTGACAAAAAAAAATAAAGTTGTGGGTCCCACCTCTTTGTGAGAGTGAAAGGATGTAAGTTATGTAATTTAAAAGTATAGACACTTTTCCCTAATTATAATGGTCACTATTTTACTGCCTAGTTTGTGCTTAGATCTTTTGTTGGATAGGGGGTAGGGACGGTGTTATATTATATGGTGTATGTAATAGTACACATTAGTAAATTGATTAATTATTAAATTAATCATGAAATTAAGCATGTATTTTGAAATAAGTATATGATAATTATTATGAAAGTCCAATTATGCTAAACAAGTTAATTAGTACCCAATAAAATTATTAGAAAAGTTTTTAGGTAAAAGTTTAAGGATCAAATTGCAATTAAGTAACAATTTGACCTAAACTTAATTTTTATGATATAATTAAATAGTTTAGTAAATTTTATAGACTCAAAGTAACCTTGGATTAATTTAATTATGATTAGAGAAATTTATTTAATTGGTGAAAGTTTAGAAATTCGTTATAGGCCCAACTAATATAAGTGTCACTTAAGTTCCTTCCTTCTCACCAAAAAGGTTTCTTTCCCACGAAGGAAGACAGGAACAAGGCGTGACTACATTGAAGAAAAGGGCAAGGTTGGTTCTCCTTGAGTTAGTAACTAAAATCCCAAGTTGTCTTCTTGAAAGTTTAAGGTTGTGAGAATAGCCTTAGCGTTCTTTCATCTCGAGAGGCCTTATTCCATGAGATCCCTCTACATCTTAGGGCGCTGCCCTGTTCATGTGAGGAGTGAAAAAAAAAGGTGTGTTTTATATATTAAAGCTTGGAAAAGAATCTCTAAGTGTTGTGGAGCAAAACTAAGGTGAGGAACTTGATCTTAAACTAAGATTTTTATGGTTGATTACGCAATTTTGGGCTGATTTCATGATAACTATGATGACGATATTTGATGGGATTTATGTTGGAATTTTATAGTTGTTTATCTATGTTAGTGATTGGTTGTTTAAAACTAGCATGAGTGGATGATAAAAGCTTGAAATAGATTACCTATGTTTAATATGCAATTCAGCCATACATGAATAAAAGTGTGTAGACCAAGTGTTCGATAAATTGTCAATGTGAAAACAATATCTTGTAGGTGATTAATGATGAGTGACATGACTTATGACTTGTAAAAGTGTTTAAAAACTAAGAAGAAAATCCATGTTTTCCTTCTACATGCGTTTTGGCCATGAAGGAATAAAGGCATAAGGAAGTGTTTTTCATGAAGCTAAATGATGTCCTATGGTCCTAGTATATGGTGGGTTGTATGTAAAATAAATTAGACATGTGTAAGTTTTGAAGAAGGTTCATGAATCTTGGTTATGTACATTTCGGCCATCACATGGTTTTGGCCTTGGAAATGTGATTTTGTTAAGTTGGATTATGTATGATGTGTCTTTTAAATGATGTATATTAGATGATAATGTGCATGGATGCAATTTTAGGCATTGGAAACCATATAAACCCTATGCGCCCTTCGTATGTATGCTTTAGGCGATGTGTAAGAAATCTATTTGAAAATGGGTTTAATGACCCTGGATATGTAAATGGAAAGTATAGGTGTTTCATGTAATGTGTAAAGGTGAGATCAAGTAACTAAGAAAGCATGAAAATGTCCGTGGCTCTCCTATGTATGTACCTTGGCCTTTTTAAGAAAAGAGGTGAAGATGTGTTGTTTATTTGTCAAGTGGTTATTGTGTGTGACTTGTGAGCCAAGCTAAAGTGATTAGACTCATCAACTAGTCCTTAGAAAACATGAAAACTCTATGGCCTTAAATATATATGTGGTTCGGCCATGTAGGTCCTAATGGGCTTGGAAGTTTAGTTAATTGTTAAGTAATGTCTAGGAGGCACTCTTGTGTTATTCCTAGTATAAATTTGAGTTTGAAACACTGTAATCATTAAAGTGTGAGTATGTCTAGGTTGCTTGTCTAACAAGTAATCACCCTTTATGGTCCTATATGTTAAGTTTTGGAAGGAATTAGTAATGACTTGTTATTTGGCATACAATTGGCATGATAATATGTGAAGTAAGATTATGACAAGGATGAAATGACAATTAACCAATTGGTATGTCATATATGAAAAGAATGGAATCATTGAAGTGTTAATGTCTTGAATGTAATACTTGGCATTTAACCTATGTGATATGTTTGATGTTGATTCCTACTCTAGGTTTGTGCCTAGAGATTCTGAGTTTGTGGATCAAGCATTGGAGGGAGATACATAGCTTTCTTGTGATACAAGAAAGCCTTTGTGTAAGCTTCAAGAGGTAAGCTCTTTGTTTAGGAACCTTCTCTTTCTATGTTGTTCCACCATGGTCCAATAGGGTTATGGTATGTATAATTGTGTGATTGAATGTAGATACCTAGTATAGGTGAATTCATATAGACATGTGTGTAAGACGATGTGTTGTGTTTTGTGGTTCTTGGCCAATGAACAATGGCATGTATATGCTTTCACTGAGGGACTCAAGCCTCTAAGAGTATATCATGCGGAGGGACTGCCTCCATGAGGGACTCAAGCAACGGTGCATGATATCCTTAGGGACTCAAGCCTTCAGATTATCATGTGGGATCTTTCGGGGGGACTCAAGCCCTCAGAAGGTTCTGTTAAGACTTTCCACTGGAGGACCCAAACTCTTGGAAGTCTTATTTGAATATGATATGTGTACGATGATATGTTGATATATGATGTCATGCTATGCTTTGTATTTGACCTCTTATGCAGGAAGTGGGCTCATGGGTGGAGACTACTCCATAAACCCTGAGCTTACAAGATTATTTATCTCATCCCTTTTTGGTGACATATTTTAGGTGAGCAGACCGTTGATGAGCCCTCTAGGGCCAAGGATGTTGTTCCGGGCTAGAGGAGCTGACATATTGGATTAGATAGTTTTTCTTTTTGGAGACTTTGTGTATATTCATTTTTGGGTAATTGTGTATGACCAATGTTTTGTATATGGCCTGTACATGTTGTGAGAGATTGTTTATTCATGATGTATGTACAATTGATATCTCCGGCATTGATACATGTATTTATTCAGTTAGATGCATGTGTTCGTAAAATGTATATGAAATGATCTGTCAAGATGATAGAATGTGTTGTGACACTGAGCCAATAGTGTTTGAGCCCATGGATGGGTCTTAAGTCCTTGTATGGACTATATGTATATGTATAATCTGTATTGGACTGTTCTGAGTGGTAGGTACTGTAAATATGAGTGGGATTTAATCCCTAGACTGTCCAGTTTACAGAAGAGATGTTGTCTGTTTGACTCTGTCAGGGTTGGTAATTGTTATCATACCCTGATGGTCGTCAACCATTGCTTATGGTTACAGGATTGATAGGTTAATAATAAGAATTCTCTATTGGTATGGACGGTACAATTAGGTTAATTATGGAAACGTTTATATGCTATGCAATACGTCATGAAAAAGAAAAGGAAAAAGTTAATTCTCAAAGTTACGTAGGTTAACTGTGAAGCTTTAAGTTAAGTCTTCCGCATTTGCATGTTAATTATGTTGCGCTTTAGTACCATATGTATGTTAACTAACCGGCTCGAGACAGGGATGTTACAGTGCAATTCGCTTATGTCTCAAACAAAAGAAGTACAATATTTTAATTAAAATTTAGAAACAAATCCACAAATTACATAATATCATAGCAAATTTTTTTTTTAATATGAATATATATAGTACTGCATGAGCTAGTGGAGACTAATAATTTAGCTACCACATTTTCTTCGGATAATATAAATAACACTAACAAACCCACTTCCTTAAATATATTGAAGCATATATACATAATACGTTTGGTTGCAAATCAAATAATTAAGGTTTATCTCCTACCACTCTAGTGAAAGCAATTTTGGAATTTAATATACACCCAGAGGATAGAAGGATATAGTATTTTCATGAAAAAGGAAACCTCAATCGAATCAACAGAGAGAAAAAAAATAAATCAGGCAGTGGATTGAGCTCTCATCAGTAAACAGAGCATCAAATTTGGTAAAATCAATAGTCCCATCCCACTTCATAATAGTAGAAATGTCGTCCAAGATAGCACCATAGACATTGTTTGGATGAGAATCAGTCAAAATGGTATGTACAGAATTCATGTTAGGTTGAATCTGATCAAATGATATAGCCATGACCAACATTTTCAAAGTTTGATATGATCAATATTAGATAATTGGTTGATGCATTTCTATCCGGCTATTAAAATTGGAGCCAGAGGACAAGTGTGCATACCTCATTCCCTACATAGTTTTCCTTTTCTTTAATTTTTAATGACTAGTTTATTTTCTTATTCTTTTATAATGTTTTTTTGGACTAGATTGTTGCACAGCTCCTCCAGCATTTCAAATTGTAACTGCTCCTCTACGCTTAGCACCATTTGTTATTTGTCAGTAGGTGTATTTTTGAATAAAGACAGAATTGATGCTATCATTCCCTTCGTCACTCTACTGTGGTTTATACGTTACTTAGGTTACCAAATCATTAGCAAACATATTCATTGTAAGAGATGCGATTAAGTTTTCTAATATCCTCTCATATAAAATATCAATGCAAGTTTGAATAGCATCACCTATATTATTAGCACTCATGGATCAGATAAGGTTCAATCCAATCACAAATTTTACACTTTTTTTTTTTGGAGGTTAATTTCTTTTTTTGGAGGTTCAAATTTTACACTTTAAATTAAGGCAAATGTATTTCTGCTGGAAGAAAATTTTTGTAGCAATATATAGAAAGTCAGGATACGTATGTGGGTACTGACTTATTTTTTTAAATGCCAAGATCTGCATGCAAGTTCTAGTGTAAATGTGATTACTACAAAATTTCTCATCTGCAGAAACTGTAAAAGTGACGAACCCTTAAATTAATTGTTTTCTTATGCCACCGGGCATGATTAGAGTAAGTAGACTTTTACAATGTAAAAGTTTTTAAGGTAACTTTTCACAAAAGTTTTTTTACAATGCACATTTTTAAGGTACTCACAAGAATAATGTAAAAGTAAACTTTTACCTATTGGCAAACAACATAACTATCTTGGCAAACAACATAACTATCAATATTTAGGTCAATCCACCGTAAGATTAATAAGTCTTATATTTTATCTCTACCGTTTATTTCCGTCCATATAGTCCATATAATGCTCTTATTTATTGAGTTATATCATTGTTGTTTATTGGGAGATAAATGGTATTTAGACATACCAAATAGTTTTTAACTTTCTAGCCTAATCCTGATTACATTACTGCCTCCACTTCCTGGACTAAGGCAAGGCAATAGGGCAATAGGTACCTGACCTAAAATAGCAGTGAGTGGTCAATACTACAAAAAGGCAAAAAGATATTGGTGCATTCTGCATGAAGACACTACTTGGATGCTAAATTAAAGAACAAAAAGATAATGTATATAATTAAATAATATATGACAACATAATGTTTACTAGAGTGGTTAGAGCAGTTGAAGAAAGAATATCTTCCTCTCTCCAAATTCCTCTGTCTCTTATCACTTTGAAAAACTTTCTCTGGTATATTATATGATCTAGGTACTTATTTGGCACCACACCACACCCCACTAACCATTTCCACAAGTCCCTCACCTCACCTCTCCTCCATTTGCTAGAAGAAAATGAAGCAACCTGCATCAAAGCCATGGAGGCCTTTCACAGCAAATTGCTGCTCAACTGAGGACCAAACTATCTTTAGTAACTTCAGCAGGTGCAAGCCCTCAAAATCAGATTTTTCTAAGAACATTGCACCTTTACCATCATTTAGGAGGCTCTCTTTCTCTGATCTTAGCCGTTCCTCGTCCACACGAATCAATGAAGATCTTGCACAGTCTTTTGGTTCTGATTTGTTTGATTTTCAGCTGAGTGAGCTGCGTGCCATTACTCAGAATTTCTCGAGCAATTTCTTGCTGGGTGAAGGTGGGTTTGGAAAAGTGCATAAGGGTTATATAGATGACAACTTGAAGCAGGGTTTGAAGGCACAACCTGTTGCTGTCAAGCTTTTGGACATTGAAGGCTTTCAAGGACATCGTGAATGGCTTGTAAGTATGGCATTTTTTTGGGGTTCCCTTTTAGATTTTAATGAGGAATGAGTCCACAATTTCAACTCACAATCTTTACCTACTTTAATAATCTCAGCTTAGCTGAAGTGATAGAATGCAAAAATTTATCTCATTTTTCCAGTACCATTCATTATAATTATGTATTTTTCTTATTATATGGTTATAATATTAAAAAAAAAAAATTCAGAAACTTGTCAGATGATGTAAAAAAAAACTTCAATATTATAACTATGTACTTCCCAAATATATAATTATAGCATATGGTAATGGAAAAATGAGATAACATGAATATCTTTTTTTTTATAATTAGCAAAATTTCATACTAATCTCATGAAAAAAAAAGGGAAATAAAATAAAATAAAAGATCTAACCATGAGTAAGTTTTTAATCGTCATTATCCTATCTAACCGGAATGAGACCAACCATGAGTCAGTATCAAAAAGGTAAAAGAATATTATATAGAGAAAATATAGTATAAAATTAGAAGTAACTTATTAGCTGAGGCAATTGAATATTTGGGTTGAATTGCAGGCAGAAGTGGTTTTTCTTGGGCAGCTAAGACACCCCAATTTGGTTAAGTTGATTGGATATTGTTGTGAAGATGAAGAACGGCTACTTGTCTATGAATTCATGCCACGTGGAAGCTTGGAGAATCACATGTTCAGAAGTATGTATCATAATAACCCTTGTTTATTTTGATCAATGAGACATATGCACCAAAGCCTCATTTAGCAGCTATTTGGTGCCTTTTTTAAGTTACTTACTCAGCCACTGCATGTAATTGCAGGGCTAACATCACTTCCATGGGCAACAAGATTAAAAATCGCAATAGGTGCTGCTAAAGGCCTTTCCTTCTTGCATGGAGCTGAGAAACCAGTCATTTATAGAGACTTCAAGACTTCCAATGTCTTGCTTGATTCAGTACGTAATTAATTACCAAACATTATTCTCTTTTTCATTAACACAAGAAACTTGTTTTTATGCATTATGTGTTCTGTTTAAAATAGGACTTCACAGCAAAATTGTCAGATTTTGGACTTGCAAAAATGGGGCCAGAGGGATCGAACACACACGTTTCAACAAGAGTTATGGGCACCTATGGATATGCAGCCCCAGAATACATCTCAACAGGTAATTGTTCAAACAAGTGGATGAGTAGGAAGACTAGGAAATCTATGATATGAACCCATTTCTAGCTATATGCTTATGACTACTATAAGGAGAACCAAATGGAATTTAATAACTTGTGTCAATTGGGGTATAGTTTTGCTGATATCCAATGCAAAATATGAATGTTTACAGGGCACTTAACCACCAAAAGTGATGTCTACAGCTTCGGGGTTGTCCTGCTAGAACTACTTATAGGAAGGAGAGCAATGGATAAGACAAGACCAAAGAGTGAGCAAAACCTTGTGGATTGGTCAAAACCTTACTTGAGTAGCAGTAGGAGGTTGCGGTACATTATGGATCCAAGGCTTGCAGGCCAATATTCTGTGAAGGGTGCAAAGGAAATGGCCCATTTGGCATCCCAATGCATAAGTTTGAATCCTAAAGACAGACCAAGAATGCCAACTATTGTTGAAACTCTTGAAAGCCTACAACAGTTCAAGGACATGGCAGTTACCAGTGGACACTGGCCAGCCGCATCACCAAAACCTACTAGAAATGGTGCTTCCAACAATAAGGTAAAAACCAGAGCCAGTGCATACCACAAGCAACCCTCCCCTACAGTTCCGAGTAGGAAAACTTGATTTGCTACCAATTATAAAGAGTGCTTTTTAATTAAGTGTAAAGTATCACATGTGGTATGGCTACAGACTGACTATTAAGCCACCCTATATATAAATGTACATGTGTAAAATTAATAAAATATATATGCAGTATAGATAAACTCGAGTGTACAATAAAATTTTCCTTTCCTTTGAATCAATGATCATAATGAAAATCAGCTAGATTTTTAAACTGGTTAGGTGACAACTCGCTTGTGCCTGCTAGCTATCTAGAATTATCATCTGAAATAAGCTCAAAATTAAGAATTAACATCAATATCAACATCAACAATAATTTTGTCCCAAACTATAAGTGATCGGTGGTAGATAAGTTCAAATAAAAAATACGAAAAGATTGGGGAAAAAAAAAGGATAGAAATAAAAAAAATTCAATAAAAAATAATAATAATCTTCATTTCTTGAGGTGAATACTAATTAACAAGAATAAAAATATAACAAGAAATGAATACTAATGAACATGACCTATCTGTCTGATATATCTTTTGCAAGAATAATAATAATTACCACTAATTAAGTAGTTGATTTAGCGTGAGAACATATTCATTTCTTCAAGTTGAAGCCTTTCCATGTGATTTACGAATCAATGGCAATTCCATTAGCTTGTTAATGCTAAGTACTCAAAGGTATATGCAATTCTCGAGCCCGGAAGATGTGTAAATTTCCTAGTGCCTTAGGACTGAGTAAACCCCACAACTACGTCACATGATTGACTACAATTAATATATTCCAAAAATGGCGAGAAGATACCAAATTGTAAAGCTTTCAAATCATGTACGCAAATTGCAATCACCCAAACATGTTGAGTGGTTCTTCATTTCAAAACCTACATCTTGCATCTGCGCCAAACCAACCGTCGTTATTGACTTTTATTATTAAAACAGGCTTCTAAACAGAGTTGATTAAGTGATATAGTTGGTTTAAGCTTTTACTTTCTGCAGATAACATTTTTTAAATTCGTTAAAATAATGAGTAACCCATAATTCAATGCTAATATGCTTGTATAGCAAACAAAAAAGTTAGTCCTCAAAAGCAAATTTGGTAAAGAGTTGAAATGACCAAATAAAGAAAATGTTATTTTCACGTTAATTTGGTACGACCTAAGTTTTTATACCATTTTTTGGATATAGTATTGGTTTCTGTGCAGAGTCCAATTCATAAAACAAGACCCACCACATTTTTTTTACCATGTTCTATTATTGAAGTGATGTAGAAAAAATAATGTGCAACTATCTTAGGCTAGCTACTTTGACTTCAGCTTGTGTTGCATACCAAGTCCCAACATGCAAGTTCCAAATTACAAGAAAAACATGTAGTTGTAAATTTATAATAATTGATGTAGTTTCTTTCTTTCTAACATTACCAAAGACAAAACTTAACCAGGAATTCAGGATATTAATAATGATTCTCAATTTCTCTCAAGTCTATTATGGCATGGTCTTGTGGGAACGCCTAATGGAGTGTCCTTGTTAAATACAGTTTCTGACTCAAACTTACGAAACCTTTCACATGAGTCCACTTTTTCCCCTCAAAAGGTGGGGGTGAGAAATGCACTTAAAGAAAAATACAACCCAACCCACTTGATTCAGTGCATGCCTGCCATACTAGTCCCCATAGATACTTCCCAACTTTCAGCTAAGACATCACAGAATTCAAAACACACAACAACAAACATCTATGCCCAGAATTTCAGAATCCCTTTAACAAATGGCCATCAACAACAAATCCAAAAAGTCAAGTTCACCTTCTCATTTTAATCTCTGCATCACCCTTTTCTTCATAGTCCTCTTCACCATACCAGCTTTTTTCCTCCTCCATTCTTCCACCACCACCTCCACATGCACCACTTTTGCAAAGGCCTGGTCAGGTGACCTTCGTCTAGCTGAGTTTGCATGGAACCGCCTCCAATTTTTTGAAGATAACAAGCCTTCACCCATATCACTCAAAATTGCTGTCTTCTCTAGAAAATGGCCTATTGGAACAACACCTGGTGGCATGGAACGCCATGCCCACACCCTTCACACTGCTTTAGCACGCCGTGGCCATCAAGTTCATATCTTTACCTCTCCCCCACAAGATGAAGCCACTTCAATCTCATCTTCTTCAGAGATAAACAATCATCAAGCAGGTGCACCCTCTTCACCTTACATCCATTGCCATGAAGGGGAGCCTGGTAGGTGGCGCTACAACAAAGCATGGGAACAGTTTCAGGAAGTAAACCAAAGAGAACCGTTTGATGTTGTTCACTCAGAAAGTGTTGCACTCCCTCACTGGCTTGCTCGTGACCTTTCAAACCTTGCAGTGTCTTGGCATGGCATAGCCCTTGAGAGCTTGCAATCAAGTATTTTTCAGGACTTGGCTCGTAGAAATGATGAGCCTAGATCACCTGATTTTGACAAAAGCGTACAAGGGGTTATCCCTAAGGTGCTGAATGAGATAAGGTTCTTCCATAATTATGCACACCATGTTGCTATAAGTGATAGTTGTGGTGAGATGTTAAGGGATGTGTACCAAATTCCCAGCAGAAGAGTCCATGTGATTATCAATGGTGTTGATGAGGATGACTTTAGAGAAGATGTGGAATTGGGAAGAGAATTTAGAATCAAAATTGGGATTCCAAGCAATGCTAGTTTGGTACTTGGTGTAGCTGGAAGATTAGTGAAGGACAAAGGCCATCCTCTGCTTCATGAAGCATACTCAAGGCTAATAACCAAGCACCCTAATGTGTATTTGATTGTAGCTGGTTCTGGACCATGGGAGAATAGGTACAAGGATTTAGGAAGCCAAGTTCTTGTTCTTGGGTCAATGAATCCTTCCATGTTACGAGCATTCTATAATGCTATTGACATTTTTGTCAATCCTACACTCAGACCACAAGGACTTGATCTTACTCTAATGGAGGCAATGATGAGTGGGAAGCCCCTTTTGGCATCAAGGTTTCCAAGCATCAAAGGTAGTATTGTGGTTGATGATGAATTTGGTTACATGTTCTCTCCCAATGTGGAGTCCTTGTTGGAGGCACTCGAAGCAGTTGTGAAGGAAGGCAAAGAGAGGCTAGCAAGAAGGGGAAAAGCATGCCGTGAATATGCAACTTCCATGTTTACAGCAAGAAAGATGGCGTTAGCATATGAAAGGCTATTCCTATGCATAAAAAGGGATACCTTTTGTAGCTATCCTTGAGGCTTAGGCTAGACAATATTCTTTTTCTTTCTGTCCTTGTTTTTTTTCTGTTTCTTTTGTTCAGTATGACATGACTATACAATAATTTTCAATAATTTATCAATTTGAAATATTGTTCTCGTAATTAGAATTTCTTGTATCACTTTACCCACATTATAGCTTCCATCTTCGATATATGATGATGGTTACAGTAGACAATAAATAAAGGAGCTCTAATTACTGAGAGTTATATCAAACACTAATTTCATCCATCAAAAGGAGAACTGATATTTCATATTATATGTGGGTATAAAATTGCTCCTTCACGGATACATAAAAATCAATAGACATGATATTTGAAATGTTGCACCATAGACAAATGCCAAAGATTCAGAACATAATAAAGATAATCCAAGTCAGAGAGAAAATAGCACAAGTACTTTTTTAGGCTTCTTAGAACGCCAAGATGAGTCTGTTTCTACTTCAAGCCTTCAAGCATTAAGGAAAATTCTTAGCAAAAGTTCTTGTTTTAAGGTCACAAAGTCGATTAAGCTTGTGTTGTGTTCTCAGTAAAGAAACAAGGGGTCCTAAATTGCAGAACTTAGTAGTCAAAGACTAGTTTTCTTTTTTTTCTGCCCAAAAAAAAAAAAAATTAGTTGCCTTCTAGGCTTCTAGCAGCTAGCCTTTGTAAATAAATTTCTTTTGAAAAGTTACTCAAAGCATAGCTAGGAGTACTGCACTATTATCTTTGGATCCAAGATGCCTCAAGCAATGCCAAAACATAGCTCCTGCCTCCTGATTATACAAAGCATAGTATTTATGTCCTCACTTTGACCAAGGTCATGGTTGCAAAACATGAACACTTCATGAAGGTCCGGATATTCATTGACGCATATTTCCTCAAACCTCATGCACCCAAAGCTTCCATCCTTATTTACTTTTCATTCTTCTTTTTTTCTTTTTTTTTTTCTTTTTTTTTTTTTATTTGTTTGGTGCATCGTGAGAGGGAGAAACAAAAGCCTCACCCTTTTTGCCTCGAAATCTAGATCTCTCCTCATATTACACTAGAATATACATGTTCATCAAGACTAAGCCCTTGCATTAGTTTTGCCTCCAAAATCATAGCCTATATATTTCAAGCTTTTGCTATCAACAATTCTATAATCTTCACATCCCAAGTGTGCCTAAAGTTAAGACAGATCTGATCTTGCTGAAAGACGGTGTCTCTCAAAACGATCGTATGCATGTTTGGTTCTTAAGAACAACAGCACACTAGAAGCTAGTCCAATGACAGATATACATCCCCACCACACAAAAGTCCAGAAGTAGCACTGCCTTCCCATGCACACTAGTGAGTCAGACATGAAGTTTCCTGGCTTTGTTGAGTTAGCATTGGCATCATAAACTACTGCAGCTAGAAGTCCATAGAGAAGCGATCCAATTGGGATATTTGTTATGAGAATGTTGTGGTTGACGCTCACATTGTTAGGTCCAAACAGCTCAGATGTGACAGCCACAGCAGCAGCAAATATGAAACCAGAGCTGAAACCAATTAGTGCAGTGCCTGTATTAAGTGCCACAGCACTGTCTGATGCAGCAAGAATGAGGAACGCAATTGGGGTTGGTATAAGTGCAATGGTTAGCCATCCAGTCCTTGCAAAGTAGAACTTACTGCAATGCACAAAAATACTATATGTTAGAAATATAATATAAAATCATTCACATTTCTTTACTTAATGGTATAAATATTGTGCATAGGATAAGATATTAGAGATATAATATAAAATCATTCACGTATCTTTACCCGTCAGCTTAAACTTTTGGGAGAATCAGTTCATAATACTATCGTCATAACTGCTACAATTATATTTCAACAGATTCACTTCTGAATCAAGAGAGTAAAAAAGAAATGACCCTACAATAAGCTCCAAAAACATGATAAAGTAGAGAATGATGAGAACACTTACTTTCGAATATAGTCTGGTACAGCTGAAAACAAGCGACCAAAGAAGGAGAAGGATGAGTATAGAGTGACAAGGGTAGAAGTCCTTGAACTCATGCCTAAAGATTGAGCTATCTGTCCAAGATTATTGCTGTAAACAAGACCAATCGTACCTCCACAGAAGTATGCAACATAATAAAGCCAAAAATCCAACCTTCCTACAATATCTGCAGCTGTGTGTTCTTCTCCCAGCATTGCCAACTGATCCTGTCCAAGCATGCTTTGACAACATCCATCACTACTTTTTGTCCTGTGACTTCTATACATGGATCCATCATCACTCAGCAAATTGTGACCATCTCCATTGCTGTGAGTACTATTTTGACGGGTAAGAAGTTCTTTATGAAGCTCAAGATCATTAACATGAACAAGAATGAAGCCAGAACCTTCCATCTGAAAGCTGGAATGGATAACATGGAGAAACCAATTTCGAGCATATATAATTCCAGGTAAACATAATGGACAGATGAGAAGAAAAATAGCTCCACCAAAGTAGAGGCGTGCCGTGGCTGCATCAGAAGTTGAGGAACCAAAGAGAAGGAGATAAAGGCCAGTGAAAATGGCTAAGATGTTGTATATAAGAAATATCACTGAGTTCCTACGAGCTGCATCAGGAGAAAGAGAATCTAAAGGTGGTTGGCGAAGAATTGGGATTAGTGCTGCAAGGGAAGTGAGAAGTGGAACAATGGCATTCAAAAGCAGATACACTGTATCAGATGAAGGGTCTATTGAATTTGCAGCAAGTGTGTAGAGTGCAGCACTTACACCATTGAAACTCACAGTGAGTGACAATGCAAGGGCTCTGTTAACTGGGAAATTCTTAATGCAGAGAACAAAACAAACTGTGTTGAACCAACAGATGCTGCAGCCACTCAAAAGACACAGAAGAAAGATCTGCCACATACAAAGCAAAAACTAGTCAACTTTACTAAAACTATAAGCAATTATCTGTGTATTGCAACTCAGTGAGGTTTAGCACTTAAAATGTTAATCAGCCAAGGTTTGGTTTACTCAGTCTCATTGTGTTAATCTATTCCTTTCAAATAACGTTACAATTTCATATTTTGAAGTGGAAATTAAATTTAAATTAAAAAAAAAATTCTAAGTACTTAACATTTATGTGAATAATTTATTGTGTAAGTATCATTGGTGACTTAGTAGAATATAGAAGAAGAACCATGTTAGTTGGGAGTTGGGACCACGAGAGAGAATGTACAAAATTATAGTTGAAAAAGTTTAGGAAATGAAAAGGACTTACACCTAAGACCAGACCACAAATCACAAGACATACGGTTATCTATCTGATGAGGCAATTAAGAAAGCTATCGGTCCTTATAATTTTAATCTTTTTTAGAAAATACGTCGTCCATTCAAAACTGGAAAACATAACGAGTTTTAAAAACATTAGAAGAAATACAATATTTTATTAGATACGTCCTAGGAATCAATTACAAAAGAAAAGTAGGGGAAAAAAATATATTTTATCCTAAACCAAAAATAATAGCAATATTTTTTTGACTCTTTTTTTTAATACATATTTTATTTTAGGGGCAGGTTATATTTACAAACTTTTTTGTTTACAAACTCTTACAAATTACACTATGTATGACCGGTCATACTTTAATCGTGCAGTGTACGACCGGTCGTACTTAATGTAATTTGCAAAAAAAATTTGTAAACGGATCTTATCCTTTTACTTTATCACTTGTTTCACCGGTTCATAAAAAATTAGAGTAATCCGGTCCAACACTATTAATTAAAGGGAAAAAGCTCCATAGTTGTGGGTGAAAATTTCATGTTATAACTTAAAAAGGAAAGTGAGCATTTCATTAAAAAGAAAGTAAAGTGATGAAAAGACCACAAACAGAAACAGTAGTACATACCAGAAAATAAGGCAAAGTGATGAGTTGCTTGATGACAAGCCATTGGAGGCCATAGCCGATGAAGCCCATGGAAGCAGAGATGAACATGACAGCAGAGAGAGGAAGATACATGAGAGCAAGACCAGAGGACCATCCAAAGAACTTGCCCATGTCACTGGCTGTGGCAAGGTAGTTGAGTTGCACCTGTGAGATGTTGAGTACTGATTTCATAGCTGAAGAGTACTCTGAGAAATCAAAATTGGTGCCAGTGAATGCTTGTATCCATATTGTTGCCAACAATATCATCCACTTCCTTGATTGCCCCGCCATCACTAGTTCACTTCCACTTCACTCTCTTGCTTTGGAGGAGCACACAACAGTGGTAGATATATGACTTTGTGTATTTATGACTGTGAGTGTCTCTACGTGGCCTCATATATATCATGTGCAATTCGAACCTTACAAAAGAACCCCGGAGATTCTCAATTAAAAATTAGTTCAAATAAATAAAAGGAAAAAAAAAAAAATTCATGCTGTCTTTTCATAATTCCCATAACTATATATGGAATGAAGTAGGACAAATAAAATTATTGTACTATATATTAATTAAATATTTTATTGTAAAATAATATATAATTATGAATTGCTAAAAATGCTAAATATTTTCTAGTTTATTATTTTAAAAGTAAATAAACTGCTAAAAATTATGAATTCATAATAATAATAATTATTATTATAAAGTAATTTCATTTAATATATTCAAAACTATAAAAAATAATTAAAAAAATTAATGTTTCTGGTGTAAGTTGAAGACAAAAATATCTCCTACACACACACACACACATATATATATAGCGCTTATCGTTTCCCAAGCTGCTTGAGATAATGTTATCTCCGGCTACTAAATCATAACCGTACAAATATGGATCAATGGTGATAAAGGAAGAGAGAGAAAAATGGAATCATAATCATTCAAAGGTGAATCAATTAATATAAGGAAATAAATAAATAAAACGACGCAATTTTGGTAGCCGGAGATAAACTTATCTCAAGCTGCTTGAGAAATATTTTTCCCATATATATATATATGGGCTTAACATTTCTGCAGCAGCCGTAGATAGTGTTATCTACAGCTGACACAGAAAAGTGGACCCCACGGCTTTTAAAAAAAAAAAACTCAGGATCTGTTGCCGTATCCTAGGATTCGGACGCGGATCCTTGCTTGCTGTAGGTACAGCAGCTGCAGAAATCATTTTGCCTATATATATATATATATATATATATATATATATAAGTAAAGCCTTTCTTCGGTCAATGAAGATAAGTTATCTCCAGTGACCACAAAACGACGTCGTTTTATGGTGGAAATCAAGGTATTTTTGTAATTATAATGTATTGCATGATTATATTAGTCTTTATCCTTATAATTTTTTAATCTTATAATCCCAAAACGACGTCGTTTTGGATTCACTAGAGATAATTTTATCTCCAGAGACTAGAGAAATACTTTTATATATATATATATATATATATATATATATATATATATATATATATATATGACTTTAATGTTTCTACAGTTAATATAGATAAATGAGTTTATCGTTTCTCAAGCTGCCGGAGATAATTTTATCTCCGACTTATAAATCATAATCGTACAAAGATGGATCAATGGTAATGAAGGAAGAGAGAAAAAAAGAAAATCATAACCATTCAAAGGTGAATCAATTAATATAAGAAAATAAATAAACAAAACGACATAGTTTTAGGGTGGCCGGAGATAAACTTATCTCAAGTTGCCGGAGAAAAAAAATTTCCTAGATAAATTATATATATTCATTCCCAAAATAACATGTTTTGGGTGGAAAGATTAAAAATTTATAATGGAAAAGATTATTATAACCCTGAAATAAATTATAATTACAAAAATATATTGATTTCTGCCCAAAATAATGTTGTTTTAGGCTTAATGTAAACAGCTTATCTACATTGACTGCAGAAAAAGGAACCCTATATGTATATATATATATATATATATAGGGGAAAAATATTGTAACAACCAACTAGTGTTACTATCAATGTTACTACCAATCAATTTCACCGTTAGATCGATTATGTGAATTCAACGGTTATATTTATTTTCCTCTTTGTATGGTTATGATTTCCCATATTTAATACTTTATATTTATTTTCTCCTTTGTATGGTTGTGATTTCCCATATTTAATGATTTCACATTAAATATGAGAAATAATAACCATACAAAGATAGAAATAAATATAACCGTTGGATCAACATAATCAATCTAACGATGAAATTGATTGTTACAATATCATATATATATATATATATATATATATATATATATATATATATATATATATATGGGGCAGGATATTCTTACACCGGTGTAAGAGTAATAACTCTTACACTCAATCTTAACCATTGATTTCCGTCCATCAAACGACTGTAATTAATTGTATTATTCTCGTTAATTAATTATTAATTATAACCGTTAGATATGCGAAGATCAACGGTTAAGATTAAGTGTAAGAGTTATTACTCTTACACCGGTGTAAGAATATCCTGCCCCATATATATATAGATTTTATAATTCTCATTCAACATGAGAATTGAGATCTTTTTTTTTTTGGATATTACATGGAATCGAACAGTGAACCTAACACTCTCTAAACACACCCAACACCACTAGGCTATCCCTATTGGTGCGAGAATTGAGATCGTCATACACATCCTTCAATTTTCCTGCTGACATGGGTCCTACATATAATTTTTTCTAACATATGGGTCTCACATGCTTTTTGTCTCTACAACATAAGTTTTGAATTCTCATGTAACATGAGAATTATAAAATCATATAAAAGATGGGAAGAAGAGAGAAAAATCCCTTATTCCTTTGATTATAAGAGATAATTTTATTTGTATTTTACCGAAGAAATATTATACTCATAAAAATATTAGATAAAATAAATTACATTTATCATTTTTTATTATATTCTATCATATTTTAAATTATTTGAATATGACAACTAATATTAGTTTATTTTAGTATATTTTATTGCATTTATTTTTATTAATCCAAACATAACATTAAAGTGAATAATTTTTTATTTAAAAGACAAATTTATTAAGGATATTTGTTCTTTTAAAAAAAATTAAGGCAGAATGAAAGAATGAGAATATACTTTAATAAATCTTAAATTTAGGTTATGATATGCATCATAAAAATGAATATGTGCATATTTAACCTTTTTAAGTAATTACCTCTACAAAAAAAAATTCAAAAAATAAAATAATCATGAGGTAGTAAGTTATTTCAAGCATACAATAATAACTAATCAAATTTTTAATAATTAAACTTTATTTGATTTTACTTGCTCGATTTGATCGGAGAGAGTAACATGAACAGAAGACAAACAAGCAAACCAACCAGTTGGCTGCAAGTGACACAATGTGACGCAGTGGCATAAACTTTTGGGTTTTATAATTCTCGTGTTCAAGTAGAATTGAAATCTCATGTTATAGAGATAAAAAACATGTGGGTTCCATGTGTTAGAAAAAATTATATGTAAGACCCATGTCAGCACGAAAATCGAAGGGTTTGTAGAAAAATTGTAATTCTCATGTTAAATGAGAATTATAAAACCCTAAATTTTTTTATATAATCGTAATACCAAGCTAAGTAGTTAATAATTTCAAAAATTATAATATGATTTTTTTATTTTTGAATAAATTGTATTGATGTTTTAAGAATAATTAAAATAAGATCAAATTATATTGGACTTATCGTTTCTTAAATTGCTTGAGATAATTTTATTTTCGGCTACTAAATCGTAACCGTAAAAAAATGGATCAATAGTGATAAAGGAAAAAAGAGAAAATGAGAATCATAATCATTCAAAGGTGAATCAATTAATATAAGAAAATAAATAAACAAAACTAAATAGTTTTAGAGTGAATGAAGATAAATATATCTCAAGCTGTTTGAGAAATATTTTTCTCAATTATATTATAGTTACAGTAATAAATGTTTTTAGACAATTATCTAGATTAGGTCTCGGTAATTTTTATCAGAATTTTTCACGTTAAAAATGGAAATCGATGTGTGATCTTTCTTTATTTTTGTCACTATTTCCTAATAATTAGCCAATCTGATACTAGGTCGAGCTTCTAGTGTCCAGTTTCATAATTCCAACTTTCATAATTTATAACAATAATATAAATAATTAATATATTAAATGAAATTGAAAAGGCCAGAGCCGCAAGCAACAAATGAAGTACCGAAAGTTGAAGAGATATGTTTCTCAATTCTCAAGATGGGTCCTGGAAGTGGGAGTTGTTGGTCCAACGTTTTGAGCCTTTGCCCCCGCCTTGTTTCTATCTATCCGATCATACTGAGGAGTGCTTGCACATGATGGACGAAGAAGGAAGGATTTTTGACTGAAGTTAATTAGTCGGGACCAGGAATCCCCCGTTCATCAATTCTTCTTTTCTGGACTGGTTGGTTAGGTGTGAATTGGAATATTAATAATGTCCTTTCTCAGTACTCCCCGGTCGAACATTTTCTTTGGAGTTAGCTGCTGCCTTATTTGGCAAGAGAGGAATGGAAGATGGTTGTTGGATTTTTCCAAGAATCTGGGCAAGGAAACTCCTTGGTGGCTGAACTGTGGGATGCTTTTATTGGTCTGGAAGCTTGATTTGTTAGTTATAACGTATCATATCGTATCCGACACTTTTCGACAGTCAGTCACACTTCAATACTTTTTACAAAGACTAAAAAAAATTCAAAGGTTACTTTACGTAGCATTTTGAATTTTAACTATTAGCTTCGTTAGATTACGATTACGATTTTATTAAATTTAATATAAACATTTGGGATGTATTATGTTTCTTGAAAAATTGATGGGTATTATAAGTTTAGTTTTTTTTTTGTTAAATTATTGAATACTAGATATAATATACACTACATAAATTAAAAAATTATATAATATCAAAACATGTCCTAACGTATCGAAATTTAACATTTTTTAAAATTAACGTGTCGGAATGTCGTTTCGTATCTCGTGTTCCATGTCGGTGTCGGTGTCGGTGCAACATAAGTTATAACATTTCAAAACATACGTGTTGTATTTGATATTTTTTTAACATTTCAATATGTGTTGCAGATAGTGGCGGAGCCAAAAGTAAAACTCAACTAGTGCCAAAAAATCTAGCCAAGTAGAATTCAACATGTGCCAAGGTTGTATTATTTTCAAAAACTCAACCAATACTAAGGTTGTATCATAATTTTTTTTTCAAAAAAAGTATACCATTTTTTTAAAATTAGCCTATGTCAAGGCACCACCTAAGTAACAAGTGGCTTTGCCACTGGT